TCGGCTAGTCTCGGTGAGCTCACGGGTGGTTCGCTCAATCGGAGGGATAAGTGAAGGATAGAGGGAGGGTTAACGATATTAAACCGACCGTACTAATGTGGGTAAAATAATTATATATTAACTTCCTTTTATACACGGTAGTGTTTAATGGGTCGGTATAACGCGGTACTTGACTCGACTTTGGGACCTTGACTTGACTTGGTTTTTGGTTGGCTGATGGTCTGAGCTCAGAGATCCGCTCTGTTTTGCTCCTGATCGTACTCTAGATTTTTGGCTAGGAGAGGACGTCCGTCCATCTTCAACTCCTGCCGTACTCTGACGTACTCTGGTGCTTTCCGAGTCGTCCAAACTCGTCAAAGTCCCAAAATGCTTACCTAAGCAATCCCACGGTTTTCTTCACTAATACGGTTTCGTGCATTCGTTTGTATAGAAACCTACACAGTCAAACAGTTCAGCACCCTGAACTGGACCTGTAGAAACCGTGGAACTGCTTACGCTGGTGTCCATGGGACACCGTGGGACTGCTGAGCAATCTTTGGATGAAGGGAATGAGAAACCTCGTTTCCCATTCCCATCGTCCACCACTTTGGGCATAATAATTATAATTATTATAAATCGAGGTATTGATCGATCTCAATACGTCACAGACATCAAGTTGTAATTCTGTAAATGTTATTGAATGAATGCATTATTCCACGCAATCTAACGAGCGCGCGTCTTACATGATCAAAAAATATCCACAGAATTTATAAAACATAATGAGGATTTCCTGAGCGTGGAAATGAAGTGAACTACTGTCACGTGTGTTGAAGATGAGTCGAAGAACGTAAACTGTACAAAAGGTAACCAGGGGGTTCGTTTCGAGGGAGGCAGTCTTACTAAACACTGATCTGTGATTTGAAAATGAGTAACATGAATAATAATATTAATGACAATAATATCTATTTCCTGTGCTAATATTACCAAAAATAATATTATAGCCCATCTCTGGTTTGTCATTAAACTTTTCTCTTTATGAATAATTATAAACGTTAGAAAAGATGTTGCTGTGCGTACTGCCACATACAAATGGCTCCAGTGACGTGTACGTTGAGAGATCGAACGACTCCTGCCTGAGGAATCTCCACACACGTGTCCAAGAGTTGAATCAAATTCGCTGGTATGCCAGTCTTCTCATTCCTTGAAATATAAAAAAGTCTCATCAACATGAATTCATTATCTGTTTGGAAGAATCAAGGGAAGGAATAGTTACCCCAAGAGGAGAATTGTCTTCTCGTTGAATTTCATGTCAAGAAGATTGATACTGTTGATTGTCTGCTCAGCACCGACCAAATTCCATCCCTTGGACTTCTTCTCCAGTAGATAATCACGTAGCTCATGAGGCTTCACCTCCGATATTGTGATCCACTTCTCTGCAGTAACACTCAGACTCTGGAAGTCTTTGTTCTCTGTGTATCTCTTGCTCTTCAGGACCAATTCCTTTGCACAGAAGATCTCTGCTGTTCTGGCTAGGCCTCCCAGGTTGGGGAAGCCCTCGATTAAAGTCGCAATCACGATTAGACCAGTATCGTTTGTTATCAATTTCTGTCTGGTCATCAGTGTTGGCATAGAATCGGTAGTTGAAATTCCTGAAGTCGATGGAATGATCTTCCTCTGAATGTCCGCGAAGTCTTCATTGTGGGATGAGTCGGCATCTGGGGTTACTGGTTCTTTCAATACTGTAGGAGTTTCAATTTCACTCAAGTCGTTATCCGGATTGTGACGGATAGGGACAGTGACATTTAGCATGTACCTGAATGATAGTAACTGAAATACTTCAACACTGATCCATTCATCCACAGAAACATTCGTTAATCTTGGAATTTGGTAGAAAATGCTGTGTAAATCCCAATTTTCCTCCGAGTCAAACTTGGAGAAATAGAAGTTGTCAAGTAACTTCACAGAATTAGTCATCAAGTTTCCATATCGGAGACTCTCCTGCACAGCTTCCCTGATACTTTCGTACTTCTTTGATTCCTTTGGCGAAATCCTATCCATGATTTCCAACAATTTGCTCAATATTACTTGAGAGTACAATCGAACTATGAATTGCTGACAGAAGCAGCTAGGCAGGATATGAGTTATAGCCTTTCGAACGTATTCCAATTGTTTGGATTTACCTAAAGATTTGGCTACATGATACACGATTGATACGAAAGATGTAAGGCTTCCTGGTCGGTTTTTACGTGCTGAAGGGAACAAATTCCAAATAAGATCACGTAATGGTTCATGGTGGGTGTAGAGACGTGCCAAAATCCACTCTTTCATAATTCGAACACTTGATTGGTCGCTTTCAGTCAGAATTAGTTGAGTCAAGGCCTCATGAACAGTTCTGGCATCATCTTCGGTGATTTTCCAAGAAAGTAATACGAGTATCTGCATTATTCGAAACTTCAGCCGGTGCACGTTCGAGTCCCCAAAGTATCTCTTATTTTTTTGCTTCTCCAACATGGAGAGCAGCTGTGGAATGTAGGATTTCACGATGTTTTCCTTCCCTTGGACAGCCATTCGTGTCATCAATATCACTAATGAAGCCCTAGTTATCACATCTGTGTACTCTCCCAAACCGAAGTCCAAACTATACTTGAAAAAATTAATTTTATGATTTTTCATTATATAGCAACATGTTTGCATTTCCATTCTTTTATTAATTTTCCCGACATCTGTCTGAAGAAGCGATGACAGTATTGCGTCACGAAAAATGTATATATCATCAACTTGTATCTGACACATCTTCCTGAATAGCAAGCATCTCAATGCTGAAGAATTGTCAGTTTTTAAAATTATGTCATTCACATAATTTACGGCCATCTGTCTGCATTTATCCACCTCGAGGAAATTTCTACTGAAAATCAGGTTTATTAGCAGTTCAGCGGAGTCCCAGTATACTTTGGTTTTACTCATATCCCACAAATTCTTCCAACAAACGTTGATAATATCTCTAATGATTCCAGAGAACTCATTAATTATTTCTCCATAATCCATCCAGTCATCAATTATGAATTCTAGAATTGCAAAGATATGTGGAACTGCTTCATCAGATTTGGTTTCTGCCAGGATCATGAGTTTTTCATTCAAAATTTCTTTCAAGGATTCCTGAAGTAATTTTTTGTTGCTTTCAATACAATCATGATAAATGTTTGCCACCAGACCGTAACATTCAGACACAATTTTTCCGTCTCCATCATTTGAATGAAATTTAGGAAGAGCATTGCCGAAAATAGCGTCGTAACCCTTACTGTTATCCAATAAATACAGAATGTTCAATGCATACCATGATCGAATGACAGGAGTATCCTGATGACTAATAAGTTCCATGATTTTCTGAATCTCCTCGTCTCCAATATTGATCATGCTGTTGATGGATTCAGTGTAGGAACCTTTGATGCTTAGAATAGCTGCGAGGGCCCTGATATGAATTTTACCCGTTTCGTACAAACTCGGCCAATTAGACCTGAGGCTGCTCATAATCAAGTCGAAAATGGACTGTGAAAATCCGAAGATTGATGCGATGTAATGATCATCTTCTCGGGATGACAATTCCATCAAACAGCCTATCATCTGCAAGGCTTTGTGGAACAGTGAATGGTCTGCGTACGGTCTCTTGTATGCATCAACGATCGGTACAAATATTGGATACAAACAATTCGAAGTAATAGACGCTTTAAACAATACATTCCCTGTGTCACACATGAGAATAATCAGGATGGCTAGAGCGTTCATGTCTGTATCATCAGTTCCACTCTTCAGGAAATATTCGCAGCACTTGGATATAGATATCACCGCCGTCGACTCTTCAGTATTTTTCTTCAAGTAATTTGCGAGTAATTTCCAGTATTCGTTTCCTCGTGTCAGTACTCCGTCACTGACGATAGAGGGGAGTATTCTTCCAATAGCGACGAAATCCAGTGGTGGTTTCACGTAAATCGTAATGCATCTCAGAATATTTATCTGGGCTGGGATTCTCATTATTTTTATCAGCTGCTTCACACATTTCTCTGTTATTACCCTCAGAGCTTCCAATTCTTCCCCACCCCAAACATTGTGTTCCACATCAGGCATTTCTTTGTTATTTCCCAGAGCTTCGAGCACATAAACCAGTGGAATAGGTGACCAATTGATTTTCGATGCTTTAATAATAAATCTGCTGGTTAAATTAATTCCTGACGATTCTGCCTTGATGAAAAACTCTGATAAATCCTTGAGGACCTGGGGATGAGGGTCTGAGCTCTGATCTTCGTATAGGAACGTTTTATTCAGAGTCTCCACTAATAGCGCTGCGAATCCATCGTCGAAAATGTGTAAATCTACTCGTAGGAGAGCACTGAGTCCTGCTTTTATGACGCCGTTGTTGTCATGATTCAAGACGCGAGCGAAAATGCATTTCACCCAGGTTCTGTCGAGCAAGGATTTATGGATGGTACTTGCCTCCAGGAGTTTATCCAAGTGGGCCATGGCAGGAAGGACTAGGTGCGCCTGTTTCTCTTCTAAACTCTCCAATAACACAAAATAATTGCTCTTTATTTCTTCAATGCTGACGTTACCATCTTCACAGAAAATGAAGGGAAGCTTTAGTTGTTCCTCTGCCTCGTTTTGTCTCCCGTCCTTTGCCTTGCATTTTTCCATTTTCCGAATCCACTCAGTCATTTCCTGAGGATGTTCTCTTAGATAATCAACGATCTTCTTCAAGACATACTGCGCTTGTTTTCTGTGTAATTGGACGTTCGATGTGAGGTGATCAGAAATAAGAAGGGAAACTCTGCCACTCAGAATTGACTTTATATTCAGCTCTAGAACATCTTTAGACTTGTTTGAGAAAAAATCATCAATCATTCCGCACAAAAGTGTTAAGGATTTCTCGTCTGTATGCTGAGTATATCCTTGTATGCAATCCCATAATACGTTGGTTAAAACTACTGGAGGATTAATTGCTCGCGTGAGCTTGAAGAGAAGCGATATGAAGGGCCTCCACACCTGGGAATTATTCTCATCGATCATTTGGAACCACGATTTGATAGTCTCCAGTAATTTAGTAGAGACAAATCCTCCAGTTTCACTGCTTAACTTTGTTTGCAAAGCAACAGCATCAGAAAGAACCTCAAGAATTGAAAAATAATTCTGAAAATTGTTGCCTTCGTTAACCTGTTTCTCTATGAAATCAAGAGCTTCCGACAACAATTGCTCTGTGCCTTGTTGATTTGAATAAAAAATAATCTGCAGGATTGCCACATCATTAAGAATTGCCTTGGTACTCTCATTACTGTCTCCAGAATGAAACAAAATCCTCCTCAAATTGTCCAATAATTTCTCATTGGGGTAATCAGCTGTTGATTTAATTTTATTTTCAACGTGAAGTTGATACTGATAACACAACAATGTACGAAAGGCATCATGCAATTTGTCATCAGCAGAGTTCTCGCGATCTCTCTCATGATAAATATCCATGACGTTGTAAATTAATTTTGATGGATCATCTTCGAAAGAAGGGTCCAGAATACTCAGCAGTGTGAACCCAGATGTGGATACGTTTACGAATCTTTGATGCAGAGCTTCGTATGGTCCCATGATTTAATTATTCATCAACAATCTCTACTTTAAAATAATACTGTAGCAAAAATACAGAGTAATCTCATGCTGGACTGCTCGACAACTGATATTTGTTGATAAAAGGTGTTCTATTGTAGCTCTACTTATCTAGTTTTTTATCTTCTAGTAGATAAGCTCTGATCAAGGGTTTATATTATCACTGGTGGCACTAACCTTCGCACTCGTCCTTTTCAATGTTGCTGGGGAGCTTCTTCAATTTTTCTGGCACTGACTACTGTCCAACTGGCTAATCCATTCCCTTGGTTTTCAGAGGTGGGAGATATGGATGTGAGTTAGGTAAATTGGGGCTAGCCAGGAAGGGGACGGAGTGGTAAGTTTGTCTGTAATAATGTTTTTCGGCCGTTATCCCTCTCTACAGGGACCTTACAGTTTGGCTAATGGTATTGCCATTACCCGGAGTGGTAGACGCTTATGTGAGCGGAAGATAACTTACCATCGGAGTAAAAATTGAATTTCAAGTTTTTGCGTCGTCAAACGACTATTTAGCAAAACCCAAATTCTTGTATCAGGAATAATTTTGGTAGGGTAAATCGTCCAGTGTTCGAACGAACAAAGTCACAATTATTTTTGACGTAGATTTAAAAATATAACCAAGTCGAAAATTGATTTAAAAATAATTATAACTCCTCTGTACATCTCCATAGATAATAGAAAAAAATATTATGGATATTAATTGACGATACAATTAATTATATGAATACAAAAAGCTGAAAATGTGTGAAAACCCAGTAATCGAAATGCGTATTCTGTAATGGGAATATGCTATTGGCGTGTCATCGAAAACTGTTTTTTCCGCTGGTAATAAGAAATCCCCCCCAAACACAACAAACCTCACGCATGCGCTGTATTTCAAACACACCTGCAGCGTCGCCATCCAATCGTGGCTGTCTCCTGAAATCATTTACCCTCGTAAAATAAATCAAGCTAACCTAGCTGCACCGCAAATGACGTCTCTACCCAGAGTCTCAAATTTTCCACCGTTTAATGCATCCGAATAATTGGATAAATGGATTTGGATGTTGTTACGAGGTCTTTACCCCCCCTAGTCAAGGGGAAAATCCATGGATATCTGAAACTAGTGATCAGTGAGGTGATTTGGCATCGCACACGACCAGGGGATGTTACCGTCATTGCTTCCTGGTGGGGTGAAACCGACAGTGCTCATTTCAGGTATTTCATCGTTTATTAACAACAATAGCCCGTCAACAATAGTTTCCCATCTCGTTTGTCTCATTCTCATGGAGGGAAAAGTCGACTTAAATGACCCAGCAACAGATAATGAACTCAAACTCCAAGTATGACACATTGGGATTAGAGGTGGGACTAGCAGATAATTTAAAAGACTGTTTAAATCGTCATAACTGCTATCCGAAAGTTGAGAAATTTCTTAAAGAAACTGAACTAAATAAGGTCTGGAAAATATTGTATATTGAAGTAATCAACCAGAGCCAATCCACGTATGAAAAAATCGTATAGAAATTTTCTATACGGATTGCGTACAAAAATTCTATAGGATTTCCGTATATGATATTCGGATATGTCTATACGAATATTTTCTATATGAATTATTTTTATACATAAATTTTTACATAAATTTTTGTTTCCATACGAAAGATTTCTAAACACTCTGGAGAAAAACGTCGGAAAATGTCGCAACTCCATAGGAAGTGTTTCTATAGGGGAGGTTGGGGTAAAACGGATACTTTTGACTTTTTTTAAAATGTTAATGAGGGGTTGAAATATTGATAAAATTGAATAATTTTTTCTAAATATGAAGAACAATTATTTCCCTTTACGACGCGCCTAAACTGAGCTCAATTGATCAATTTGTTTCTGAATTGTGAATAATTTTAAAAAGTCTAAAGTGTCCGTTTTACCCCACCCTCCCCTACATGTGGCAGTGGGTCGTATAGGATCAAACCTATAGAAATCGTATAGAAATAATTTGCATAAAAAATCCGTATAGAAATATCCGTATCTCATATACGAAAATCCTATAGAAATTTCGTACGCAATCCGTATATATAATTTCTATACGATTTTTTCATACGTGTCTACTTATTGTAATTTCATGTATATATCTTATGAATTTTCTATTTTTCCTTGGATTTGAATGAAACAGTTTCATCCAAAAATGAACTTTTTTTCCTATTCTCGAACTTTTATGGGATTTATTTTGAAACTGATAATTCCCCTACTAAAAAAACTCCAGAAAGAAACATCAAAATTGAGAGCATGGGACTAAATCTACTTCAGAACAGGTGGGAAATTGCACTTGTATTGCACATAGTATAGTCATTTTTGCTAATAAATTAGTAATATGCTTCCGAATGGTTATTTTGCACATCAGTGTCTTCTATCATGTATAATTAATTGTTTATTTCATTTTATTCGAGTCCTACACAGCTGATTTCGGTTTTTATCATATAAAAAAATTTACTATTTGTGTAAAAAAATACAAAAAAAGCAAATTTAGCCATGTAAGAGGAGAATTAAAAAAAAATAGCTCGTAATTGTTATTCCACATATTTTTCCGAAAATTTTGAAGAAAAAAATCCTTCGTAGCTAAAAAATTCGAGACCCTGGACTGTTTTTGGCATTTTAAGCGTTTTCGGGCAAACGAACAATAAAAACTTTTTTTTTTGCACTAATTATTTGTTTTCAGATCTATATAATCGATCTTCAACGTATGAAAAGTCTCACTCCAATAACTCACGACGAAACCGTCAGAAAGCTGACTTTCAAGGAAATTCATAAAAAATTAGAAACTTGAAAAAATCCTCATAAAAATCAAATCAACCTATATAGCTATCGTAATCATCTTTTAACTTCGACTTAATGCCATTAAAACAAACATTTTAATCTATGATTGTATTCATTTGAAGCCTAATATTCAAAGATATCCCCGGAATTCTGATTTTGAAAAAACACAAAATTTTTACAAAGAAAATGCGGTATTTCACGAACTACACTATCGAACAATAGTATTTCCCCTAATTCTTACGAATTTCCATCTTTATTTCAGACCGGTAGACCCCACGATGGACAGCACTCGTGCCGCAAGCGAAACCACAGAAACCTACGCAGTAAGAACAAACTTCGACTTATTCGAAGAGTACCTAACAAACTGTGGAACCGTGGACCTCCTAATAATTTCTGAACCCCTGAACGAGATCGTTGGAACAGCCCAAATATCCGATCTCCACGAGATATTCAGAGGTAAATCCTACATCCAATACTGCAGTATAATCAATAAAGTGGGAACGAAAATAGGAGACATCCCCGTGAGCCTCACCTTATCAAAAGCCCAGAGGAGTCCCAGAAAACTCAAAGACAAGAAATCAGCCCTGTCATCGCTCCCAGACAACGACTTACCCGAACCTGACCTGAATTTCGCTCTAAAAAATCCTCTCCCTCACCGGAATACGCCACCAACCAGCGAAAAAGAGTCTTACAAACCTGAAGAGAACATCTATCGATCAATCCTCAAAGAAAAAAGATTCAGCATGAACAGAACCGCCGAAAAATCGGCCTCCAAAGTAACCGATAAACTAGTTGCTCAAGTAGTTGCTAGAGCCCAGAAGCTCCGAGGAGTCCTAATGAAGGAAACTAAAGACGATTTCCTCGAGACAAACGAAAATTCCCTCGACAGTTATCGATCTGAAAACGACCCCGAGGACCCCGACGCCGCCCTCTACAAATACTTCATGGGGTCCAGTTTATCTCGAAAAGACGAAAAGCGAGCGTTGGAGAAATTACGATCGACGTCACCGACTCCCAGTCTCATTGACATCGCCACAGAAACCATAGTCTCCTGCAGGGACGACAAAACCTCGGATCGCTCCCCCTGGTCTCGAAGGAACACTGAGGAATTACCAGACCCATTGAACGAAGAAATATCATCGAATCGTCTGACGGTGCATCAGAAAGAGGCCACCCCCATGGACTACGTCGACAGTCTTCGAATAGCAGTTGAATCCCTATCACTGACTCCTGCTGGTTACAGAAGAGTGAAATCCTCCTGTCTCACCCGAGGCGATGGACTCCCCACTTCAGTAACCTACTTCGTGCAGTACGACGCAGCCTTCGCGAACGTGAAAAAATACAACAAAAAGGTCATCAATGAGAGTAAAAAGCCAGTGAAGATATCTTCAAGAAGACAAGACGGTCAGATCATTCAGTTTAATCATGAGGCAGTCTACAATCTTCCTCGATCACATGTTCACTTGCAAATGAACATGCCCCTGAGGTTCAAGATATTCAATCGTCACCTGGAGCAGAGGACCCCCACCGAGCTCGGGGTGGGCTCCATCTACATCGGAGATGCTGCTAAATCCCCTCACCTCAACTCCACCCAAAAACTAGCCATCGTGAAGAAGGGAATAAAAATAGGTGAGCTTAAGGTCACGATTGAGCTTGGGTGTGACAAAATCCACTTTGGGAGGCAGTTCATCGAGGCTGTGACGATGGCCAAGGAGAACATTCCAGTGCTGGAGCTGTCCCACGGGGCCATGAGTAATTTGAATCGTTACAAATGCACCACCGGAAACGAATCTAAACCCAGTGGAACCAACACTGGAGTCACACCAGTTCCTGATCAGAGGCAGTGTTACTCCAGACACGAAGGAAGTGGTCAGAACTCATCTGCAAGTAGAAGAGAAATCTCCGAGAAGACTGAGGAGAGACTGAAAACGGATGTTCCTGCGCTTCCAGAGGAGAAGACTCTCCTTCATGGCCTGATTCACATAGTTGAGGGTAGAAATCTGCCAGCAATGAACACTTACATAATCTGTCGAGCCCTGTGGAGGCAGGATAAGTCCTCCAGCAGGGTCTGCACTGACACAACGAACCCCCACTACAACTTCCACCAGATAATGCCATTGATTTATGGATTGGAACTCCTGGAGAGAACGAAAGACAACTGCATAATCACCGAAGTCTACTCGAAGAGTCTCATCGGTGAAGATAATCTCATTGGAATCTCAAAACTATCGGTTCACCAGCTGTACGTGGCCTTCAGGGATCCCCTGGTCCTTCCAAATTTACTGAAATCTCGATACCCAGTGATAAGCGTAGACGGTTGGGTTCTAATAACAGATCCAGTTACTGGGAGACTCTGTGGAGAGCTGTCAGCCCTAGTGGCTCTTGGCACTGCTGATCAGATAGCCCTCCTCGAGATGACGAGGGATCTTCGAGGCAGAAATTCCCCAGAAGATTCTCCCAGAAGAAGCCTGAATCACCATCGAGAACCCTCGAGAGAGTCCAGTGTTCGCACTCAAGAGTGTCAAACCGAAATTTCCACAGTCTCAGACATTAAATCCGCAGATTCGAGATTCAAAATGTCTGAGGAATTGCGAGGGGAGCAGACAGCTGTTCTCCATACTATTGTAGACAAACTAGCTCAGGCACTGACTGCTCCCAGAATCATCACAAATCAAGAGGCACAGACTGAGTTTCAAGTCCCTACGAGAGAGTCTGACCTCCACGTGGAGATGAATCCCAATTCCCAGGTTCTGAGTTCAAATCCATCGAACAGCAATAGTTTCTCTGGTGACAGTTTCAACGAGGGCCCTCGAGACAATTTTGTAGTATCGAGGGAGATTTATAGGAGTGTGGGGGTAGGGGCTGAGTTTAGTGAGCCTGCTGATCAGAACAATCAGGCTGTGAACGTTGATGATTACAGTTCGACTCCAGCATCTGTTGGCAAGAGAGTTGAAGGCCCTAGCTCTTCCAAAAATGACATTCCCCCACGTGGGAAAGGACGTGAGGACTCAGTGGATGATTCTGAGGATGGGGAGGGCTTTAGGGCGGTTATCGAGATAGAGTGTGCCCTGCATCTGCCCACTGTGGAGTTATCAAATGGTTCAGTGGAACCTAACACCTACGTCACCTTCCAGAAGCTCCCAGGGGGTCGACACGAGAGAACTGACGTCTGTCCATACAGCTGCAATCCCAGGTACGACTGGAGATGCGACACTAAATTATCAACAGAGCTATTGACGAACGAGAAGATGAGACTGATTATGAAGGTTTGGAGATTACTGGATGCTGAAGCTGATGGGACGATCAATCAAGAGAGAGATATTGTCATTGGATTTTCAGCTATTGATCTGTCAGTTCTGACGGCTGGCTTTCCAGTGGTGTCTGGATGGTTCCACATCAATGATTTCTCTGGTAAATCTAATGGACAGTTGAAGGTCTCTGTGACACCACTGGACAACATCTCGTCGTTCTCCAGGTGTGGAGGGACGTCGAGGGTGCAGGCCCCTCTGGACCACTCGAATTTCTCTTCACCTTATCCAGAGGACCTCGAGAGGATCGCTGGAGGAAATGATATTCAGACGGGTACTGAATCGTCTGAGGAATGTCCTCAAATCCCAGCAGAGAGTGCCTTTGATATTGCTCTGGGCCTCGGTGATGCGTCGATGTCGTTCCTCTCGTCTTCCCTGAAACAGAAATTGACGGAGTTAGATGAGATCAAGCAACGTCTGCAGTCTCGTCTGCTGGATGTGACGAGTACAGCTTTTGAAGATGATTTTGATAATGACTTTGACTTTATCGAGGGGGAGGCGGACCCCGAGGGTGACGATAATAATGGAAACAGCTGGAACATTGAAGCCTCGTCTCGACTAGCACCTGCGGACAATAGTTCAACAGAGAATGGACTGGTTAACAATCGGATAACGAATGGAAATGGTGAAGTAATGGGGGAAATCGAGAGTAATAAGTACCCCCAGGGTACCAGTGACAATAACACGAACACTCTAGAGGCGAATCTAACAGACACTGGGTACTCCTCAGGTTCGAACGTCCAGCAAACTGTCACCAATGGCCACAGGACTGAGCAAAGAGTCTTCGAAATCCCTCAGAATATCAATCCACTGATCAATGGACAACATGAGGACCAGGGGTACCCAGCCAGAGGCACTCGAATGCACATAAGTCATTTATTGGATAAACTCTCGATGCAGCTGACGACAGCCCCTGCCCCCATCGGAAATCTCCCGATGAAGCGAAACATCATGGATTTGATCAGTAGTTTAAGAAGGAATAATAATAATTTTTCTAACGACATAAAGTGCAATCGCCAGGCGAATGTGCGAACAGTTCCAACTCAGACTGATACGAATTTCATCAGTAATACTCAGTCGAATAATTCGGAGGTGAAGACTGAGACGAAGAGGAATAATTCGACTTTTAGTAATGAAGAGGATCCTTTCAAGGAGGATGAGATTCCGGCGAAAACTCAGAAGAGGGAGAAAGTGTCGACGATTGTCAGGGAAGAATTGATTAATGACGATCAGAATGATTCTTCGGAGTATGATGAGCTCTCGACGCACCTAATGACTTCCAATATTCGACACATGAATTCAAATGATATGGTGAATCCTCTGTTGTACAGGCATGCACTACCGGACATATCGGACTTACCTGATTTGCCAGAGGTGCATGCAACCGGTCAGGAGTCCTCCAGTCCATCATTGACACCTGATGACGACACCCTCGAGAGACTAGACTCTCGTTACTCCGAGAGTTTCAGTGCCACGATAAATAAGAGTTTGGGGAGATTGAGAAATTTTCTTGATGGGGAATCCACATCCCAGGTGCCTCGATTATCCCCGACTACTGAGAGTACTGAGTTGTTTCGCGTGACTCCGTCTGGGGTACCTGAGAATACAGATGGGAATATCGATGTAACTGTTATTCATAAACCGTGTAATGATGAACTGATGGCGAGCAACAGCATGGAATCTACAACAACTGTTTCGGGGGATAATACAATGCGAACTGGGACTGAGATCGATGATAACAGTTCGTTGAATTCGGAGAGCTCGGTATCAGCGGTATCGAGGCAAGCACCTGATGGGGGGAATACTGTGGAGGATCCTGGTAGACCTGCTTTGATGAAGGGAAGGGAAAATTCTCAGGATTCTTCCGCCGGAAATTAAATTCTGAGGAGAAAAAGAACTGAATTCAAATTTTCGTCAAGTCAAGAATTTTTGTCAGGAGAGAATTGATTCATTGGCGATCAGAATGAGTATTCGGAGTATGGTGAGTAGAAGGGGAAGGAAAATTCGGAGGATTCTTCCTCTGGGAATTAAATTTTCGAGGGAATGTGGAGCAAATTCAAGGTTTTGTCAATCCAGTGTTGATCACTTTTTTTTATCAACAAATTTGTCAATTTTTTAGCTCTTCGCAGATAGATTTTAACTCTTCGCTTGTATTCTCTTTTAAACGTGATCTTCATTGTTTTCTTTAGTTTGATAATTTGAAATATTATCAATTGCCATTTAGTTTTATTTAGTTTTATTTATAGTCTCCAAAAATTGTTTTTACAATTAAAAAAACGTTGAGAGAAACCTTCTTGAGTAATATTGGGAAATAAACGCAATAGGGAGAAAATTGCAAATTAATAATTTACTGTATCGAATGGCTGTTAGGTCGTCATTTTTTCACAGCCAATGGCTGCCAGATCGTTAATTGCTGTAATAAATTATCCATTTACAATTTCCTTCCGATCGCACTTATTTTCTAATCTTTATTAAAAATGTTCCGTTTTTTTCTATTTTTTTTTATTGTACAATAATATTTTTTAGAGACTTCTGCGTGATGTAAAATTCAATGGGAATTCTGATATTTCAAATTATGAAGATAAAAAAACAATCGTCATAACGCTCGAAAGATAACCCATCTGAACCTTGAATTAATAACTTTTTTCCATGATTTCTTTTTACGAATTCACTGGTGAATTGCATCGTTTATCTTGGAAATGAGTTAATTTCGTCGATCAGACAAAAAATTCGACATTCTCCCCTAGAAATCATCCGCTCTGAATATTTCGTACTAAACAACATCTGATGCATGAAAAAAAGAGATTCTAGCGCATTCGTTGGAAAGTTCTATTGGTGTTTTGTTGAAATTCTATTGAAAACTTATTAGAATGCCATTTGACATTCTACTCATCCTTTTCCTGTTTTGTCAGTAAACATTTTTGGGCTCGAATTTCAAATTTTGTTTCTAGAATTTTGCGATAAGAACCGAAAAACATAGAGCAGAAAACCTTAAACAATTTATGTCCAAGACTTCACATTTTTAGTTCTATTAGTATTCCTGTAGAAAACTGAAAAGTGGAGTTTAAATAGAGGAGTTTCAATAGAGATTCAGTAGGATTTCCCAGCAACAGTCGGAGATTTGTCTACATAAAGTTTTCATGTATACCAGAAATCTATTTGTTACCTTTTTTAATAGAAAATTTGTATTAACAACTCAGTACCAGTTGAATGTCAGCATACGTAATGTAAATCGCTAAATAGGCCATTCTAAACATGAAAGAAATGCAGCCCTCTTCATGTATCGAATTTCCAAATGTCCCAACATCTGCGACAATTGATTTTTATGGAGTGAAGAAAATTCTCTATTCGCAAAAATCGACAAAAAAACGATGTGGAAATTTTTACAGAAAAAAAAATACGTCGTACTCTTTAATCAAAAAATACGACCAGTTACCTAGTATAAACTCGATGTATTTACCATTAAAATATTTTTTATATAATCTTTCTGTAAATAGAAAACAATTTGTAGTAATATTATATCGGTGTAAGGAATGTGTACATACTATGTGAAGTTGAAACAATAAAACTGTCGAAATAACTGATAGTTCATATATTTTCTATATAAATTCCAACAAGAAATGATAATCGATGAGAGTTTAGATACAAACAATGGTTCACAACAGGAAGTTATTTTTAGTCTTTGAAGTAGGAGCACAAATAGGCCTCTTTCTGAGACCATTTCTGAATGACTCCAGGATGCATCCGCCAGATTTTAGCATCCGTCCCTTCATGCGAGTGAATCATGGAGCAGTCGCGGATTTTCTAGATTTGAAAAATAAACGAAGTTAATGGTGGGAGAATAAGTCGAGTTTATTCGTATGCTCCAATTTTAAATTAGTATAAGGCCGATTCCGCCAAATATCGTACGAAAAATAAACCTTGTTTCCCATTTTCTTCCCTAAATCTGATATTTTTTTCGGAAAATTGGAAAAATTTCCGATCAAAACCTATGTTATGAATTTTTTCAGCATTTTTTAACACGTTAAATAAGAGCGAAGAATTTCGAGTCTAAAACGCTTAATCACAGGGAGCGCCTTTAATTAAGCCGCACGATCTCTGTTAGGCGAGAAATCCCTTTTTCTATATGAGGTATTCCACGCCAAATGAGTCAACCGCTGACCCTCACCCTTGGAAATTGATGGCGATTTTTTCTACGATTGGGGAGAATGAAAAACTATATCTCAAATTTTTCCAGATTTTTTCGACAGCCCAGTTCGGAGATATGATTTTTGTTTCGTTTTTGGTTTTTTTTTCAATAACTCGAGTTCTATCCATCCGATTTTAATTTATTAAGCGTCAAAATTTTTCATTTTTTACTGCCTATAAAAATATTTTTAGTTAAATTTTTTTTTCGATCTCTAGATGCGCATAATAACGACTTTTCGAATAAAAAAGTTTAAAAACTTGAATTTTGCAAATTACATCACGGATGTTGTGTTTAATTTTTTTTCCAGTAATTCTTATAATCAAAACAAGTATTTTGAGCCATCATACAAGTTGGGCATCGTCCTGGATCTATTTTATTTTCAATTTTTTCGTTTCGAAATTTCGTAAATTTGGTCGCAACACCTCAAAATGGCGTTGATTGACTTTGATTATAGACAGTATGAAGTGAATTTGATTGTATACCTATATATTACATATTTTTTCGATACATAGTCGAAGTCGTTTTGTGTTTTGACCGAATTAGCGAAATTTCCAAATGAAAAAATGAAAAATAACATAGATCCAGGAGGATGCCCAACTTGAATGACAGCTCAAAATACTTGTTTTGATTATGAGAATTACTGAAAAAAAATTTTTGAATATCAACCGTGACGTAATTTGCAAAATTCAAGTTTTTCTACTTTTTCGTTGGAAAATTTGTTATTATGAGCATCTAAGAATCGAAAAAAAAATTACTAAGAATTGTCGTATAGGCGGTAAAAAATGGAAAATTTTGACGCTTAATAAATCAAAATCGGATGGATAGAACTCGAGTTATTGGAAAAAACGGAAAAATGTAAAAAAATCACATCTCCAAACTGGGCTGCCGAAAAAATCTGAAAAAATTTGAGAGATAGTTTTTCAACCTCCCCGATTGTGGAAAAATCGCCATTAATATCCAAGAGGGTGAGGGTCAGTGATTGACTCATTTGACGTGGAATACCTCATATATATAAGTATTGAGAAGAACCAAACAAAAAATTATCGAAAATTTTGAGGCCAGATCTTTGACGGCATGGCCCATGAACATAACTTGAATTTTCAAGATAATCTGGAGTAAATTCTAAACGAAAGTTGATATCAATAGAACCATTCTGGTTGAGTTTGTACTCAATTAGGAGTCTAGTATTACTGATAACAATTAATCTAGAAGTGGAAAAATAACACAGAATTTTATGAGAAGATGAACTTTTCGAGGCTAGTGAGAAGATTACAATCTAGAAAAAGTCTCGAAAAGTCAAAAAAAAGATGAAAACTCTATGTCCAATATGAAAATTATCGACAGTGTCAAACTTTGGTAATAAATAATTCATGGTTCTGCGTGCCCGTTATATCGAACACCCTAGTCAAACTAGAGGCTGTTGTTTAAAAAAATAATTGAAGAAAGAATTTGATCGATCAATTTTTCATTGATCAAAGTTAAAATTCATGGGAAAAATTATCAGCGATGAATAATTTTTTTACAAGTTTTCTAAATTGATGTTTCCTCCTTACACTCAACCACTCAACTGGACTTTAATTATACGACTTTAAAGTAGTATAAACCATCACGTGAATTTTAAAGATTAAAGTTAGAAATAACTTTTAAACAAAAATTAATATAAATAAAGACATTTTCGTTGAGATTGTGTCCAATCGACAGTCTAGTATCGTTGATAATAATTGATTTAGAAGTGCAAAAATAACACAGAATCTTATGAGAACACGAACATTTCGAGATTAGGAAGAAGATTAAAATCGAGAAAAAACCTCGGAAAATCAGAAAAAGTAAATAAAAATCCTGTGCCCAATTTGAAAATTACCGTCAGTGTCAAACTTTTTAAATAAATAATTTATGTTTCTGCGTGCCGGAAATAGCGTGTTATATCGAAACACCTTGGCCAAACGAGAGACTATTGTGTAAAGAAATAATTGAAGAAAGAATTTGATAGATTAATTTTTTACACTCATCAAAGTTGAAATTCATAGGAAAATTTATCAACGACGAATAATTTTTTAGGCTTTTTGAATTTATTTTTCCTCATTCTACTCAACCGCTTATCTGGAGTTTATTCATACTACTTTAATGAGAAAACTACTCACTCGGAAATTATTCAGTTCTTTTTTCGTATGCTTTCTGGGCCGCTGACGTTCAATAGTCATGCAACCCCGACAGAGGTACATCCGGTTGTTCAAGTGCCAGTAATCACCGATTGGATTCTCATCGCAAACACCGCATATGTCTGTGTTTCGTTTGCAGCATTTTATTTCAACGCCCAGGCGCAGTTTCACGCTTCCACCGAAACTGTGGTCGAATATTATGCGCCTTCTTATGGGTGTTATGTTGCGGTAGAGTCCGGGCCTTTGAAAAATGAAGAAAAAAGTCGATACAGAAGACGGAAACGTGGAGTTATCGATTTGTTTCCGATCAATCAATCTTTTCGCGATTGAAGTTTAATCCTTCGATGATACTAATAGAATGATACTAATAGAATTCCACGTCTTTTTTTCCTTAACATTTCTTCATCAGGAACTCATGCTGATACTAAATTCTTCCCCTTCCCCTTTCAGTTCCCCCATTTAATTTTTTTTACGAAGAAAAACGAGTGGGAAATTGCTTTTGTCACAACATAGTGAATATATTTTTGCTAATAAATTTGCAATTTGCTTCCGAATGGAATTTCTATGACGATGTATTTTAAATTGAATTCAATGATTCATTGCACGGAGAAAAAAGTTGGAGAAAAATTACCAAACAAGTCAAATAATCGTGGAGCGAACTCGATTTTCAGTACTTTTTCCCCTTAAACAGGAGAAAAGTGCCAGATTACGAGTGAATTTTACTCCGTTGGTCCAGAAAAATGTGCTCAACGCGAGAGTGATTTGTACCGAAACTGTGACTATCAGGAACTCATGCTGATACTAAATTCTTCCCCATCCCCTTCCCCTTTCAGTTCCCCCATTTAATTTTTTTTATGAAGAAAAACGAGTGGGAAATTGCTTTTGTCACAACATAGTGAATATATTTTTGCTAATAAATTTGCAATTTGCTCCCGAATGGAATTTCTATGACGATGTATTTTAAATTGAATTCAATGATTCATTGCACGGAGAAAAAAGTTTGAGAAAAATTACCAAACAAGTCAAATAATCGTGGAGCGAACTCGATTTTCAGTACTTTTTCCCCTTAAACAGGAGAAAAGTGCCGGATCACGAGTGAATTTTACTCCGTTGGTCCAGGAAAATTTACTCAACGCGAGAGTGATTTGTACCGAAACTGTAAAATTTACCCGCATCCCATCAAAAATTATCCCAGTGAACGTGAATGATTGCTCCAATTTTTCGTATAATTTTTCTGTGACGAAGAATTTGTTTTACCCAGCACCTTGAACTATTAATTCTACTAGAAATTCGTATTCTTATGTCATAGGGGAGGGTTCGGTAAAATGGACACTTTAGACTTTTTTTAAATTATTCATAACTCAGAAACAAATTTATCAATTGAGCTCAGATAAGGCTCGTCACAAAGGCAAAGAACTGTTCTTTGTATTGAAAAAAAAAATTATCAAATTTCATCAACATTTCAACCCCTCATTACCATTTGAAAAAAAGTCAAAAGTGTCCGTTTTACCCCAACCTCCCCTACTTTTGTTATTCTTCTCCCCCTCTGTAATGGGACTATGTATCCTTCAAGCAGATTAATAAATTCAGTTCAATTCAATTGCTATGAAATTGAATTCATATGATTTACGACTCAATGGACTATCCACTCACCCTGGATTTCGATTAGTATCAAAAGTCTTTCTCTTGGCAGTGGAGCTAAATGGTGCCTTCATCTCCTTAACTTTGGCAGGAAACGAGGGAACATTGTACTCACAAGGTGCAGGATAATCCTCAGTATGAGTTATCGAAACGGCGAACCTCCCCAACCCTCCATACCCCTTTCGACTGAAGCTCTTCGCACAGGGCTTCGAAGTAACCGCCTTGAAGGCGCCCAGCACATCGTACCGTCCGGGCCCAGTATTCGGAAAATCCTCGGGCACATAAAAACGCATGAATGCATTCATCCCCCTCTTGAGACCGATATCCCGAGATTTTCCCGAGCCGAAACATATTTTCTGCTGCTCCTGCTTCTCCACAATGTAATTGAACCCTAAAAATTGTTAAATTATGGGTAAAATTTACTCAAATGAGATAAAATGATAATAACTTATTTGCGTGTCGCCCTATGCTTTTGGCGGTGAATTGAAAATTGAAAAATATGGGTGTGTTGGTGCTTAAACATCACGATAAACTCGCACACTGTGACAACTGGGCGGTAACTATGTATCGGATATTACTTGAGTTTGAAATGAATGCGCAAAGGCACACTACGCACGTACCGTCGCGACATACCCACATTGCAACTAATGCAGTCTGATATTATCGCGAAAATTTAAAATTGACAAAGTCGATCTGAATTTTTTTTCCCCCCTAAACTTTGTTGCGTTCTATTAGGCTGGAGAAATCAGTAATATAGATTTGAGTTGTACGAATTGGGGATTACTATGGCAACCGGCCCCACAGTAGTTTCTGAAATCGCTGATTATTGACTGAATTGTTCTCAAATGCTCTTTTATGCGGATTCATTCGGCATCGCTGACGGAGTTTAACGGCGGTGGAACGGGGACGGGGTTCATCCGTAACCCAATTTCCAGATTTTTACGAGCACGCAATGGAAAGAATTATTTCCTTACCTTCCATCTGTTATGTAAATATTTGGGCATGTAGAAATTAAGGGGCGGGAATTGTGTTTCAGTTGATATGACAGATTTTTTGATTTTCAATTTATGAAAAATGAAGATTCATTTATTTTTTCAATCGGAATTTTTTTTCTTGCATTCGATCTAAAATTATATTAAACTTTCATTTTAAATTCTATTGGCTTTTCGCGGATTCTATTGAAAATGAAAAAACGCGCTGCTTTTTTCCGCATTTTTGCTTCCGAATGGAAGCGTTGCAATCGTTCAATTTAACCCGGCAAACAGTATGTCGACAATTTGTCGACAAATTGCCGATGTCCTGTTAAATTTTAGATGGCACTGGCAAAAATTGGTTTCTGGGAAGTTTGGGATTTTTCAAAAGACCGAAAATGCAATTTTTAGACCGTGTCCACACATATGTGTTGTTCGCTAATGAGTCGATGGAATTAAATCATTTCTTTGTCTCAAACGTAGGTATTGTTGAACAATATCCGTCGACATTAACCCGTCACGTACGGGGTCCTTGTCATTTCCGAAACTATGGATAATAATTTAGTCAAACAAGCAACATTGGCAAGAGAGATATTGCAGGTTCAATTACGTATCGGTTTTACTATTGTCCATTCATCAAAAGCGATCAGATTTGAGTGATATTAAGCGCCCGACGCGCTTGGAAACAAAAGCGCCCCGTACGTAAGGGCCCTGGTAAAACAGTCCGATTATTTCCGACTGGGTGATAATAGTATGTTTCGTAACGAGTGCAAAAAAGTGTTTTTTGGCGAGTGGGAGGTTTATATCACGAGCCGAAGGCTCGTGATATAAACCTCCCACTCCAATATGAAAATTATCGACAGTGTCAAACTTTGGTAATAAATAATTCATGGTTCTGTGTGCCCGTTATATCGAACACCCTAGTCAAACTAGAGGCTGTTGTTTAAAAAAATAATTGAAGAAAGAATTTAATCGATCAATTTTTCATTGATCAAAGTTAACATTCATGGGAAAAATTATCAACGATGAATAATTTTTTTACAAGTTTTCTAAATTTATGTTTCCTCGTTACACCCAACCACTCAACTCGACTTTATTTATACTACTTTAAAGTAGTATAAACCATCACGTGAATTTTAAAGATTAAAGTTAGAAATAACTTTTAAACAAAAATTAATATAAATAAAGACATTTTCGTTGAGATTGTGTCCAATCGACAGTCTAGTATCGTTGATAATAATTGATTTAGAAGTGCAAAAATAACACAGAGTCTTATGAGAACACGAACATTTCAAGATTAGGAAGAAGATTAAAATCGAGAAAAAACCTTGAAAAATCAGAAAAAATAAATAAAAATCCTATGTCCCATTTGAAAATTACCGTCAGTGTCAAACTTTTTTAATAAATAATTTATGTTTCTGCGTGCCCGAAATAGCGTGTTATATCGAAACACCCTAGCCAAACGAGAGCAAAGATTGTTTAAAAAGTTCGGCTCGTGATATAATCCCACGAGCTAAAAAACATTTTTTCACGAGTTACGAATAATATTTTTCATCACAATGTGGCGGAAATTGGACTTTTGGCCACGCGGAGCGTCCCGAAAAGTTCACTTTTCGTCACAGCGTGATGAAAAAAATGAATCGGCGTTAATGATGTCTCTGTATTTGCCCGTTAAATTCCGATTGGCTGGTAGGTAGAATTTGGAGTTTGAGAAAATTATTAGATTTACTGGGAACAAGGGTATGTGGCCGTTATCGTCCAATCACTTTCCAAAAAAGTGGTTGATAGATCTCATATTACGCATATAAATATTTAAATGAGCAATAAATATTAAAGATTTATACGAGCAATATGAGATCTATCAATCACTTTTTTGGAAAGTAATCGGACGATGACAGCCACATACCCTTGATCCTATTAATTCTCATAATTTTCTCAAACTCCAAACTCTACCTACCAGCCAATCGGACTTTAACGGGCAAAGACAGAAACATCATTAACGCCGATTCATTTTCTACCACCCAGTCGGAAATAATCGGACTGTTTTACCAGGGGGGTTATTCAAAATTTAATTCATTTAATAATGTTTTTAATTTTTTAATTTCTCCAAAAATCAATTCTCCTCCGATAATAAAAAACAAGTGGGAAATTGCTCTTGAATATGCTTCCAAATGGTTATTTTGCACATCATTTCCTCCTATCATGTATAATTCATTATTTATTCAATTTTAATAAATTGAATAAGATTTCTTTTCAACTAATTTTGTCAGATTTGCAACTGAGTTGAATCTTATCATCACCATTATTCTTCTTATTCCTTTCTTCTATACACCCGATTGTCTTCTACACAGTTCCATCTTTCCCGTCAGACCTCCGATAAAATCTTAATAGACAAATTTTATTTTGACACTAGGGGGCTTCGCCCCCGCTCTATTCACTCGCTCCTCCCCATCTTCTTGAGTATGCCTAGGTGTTCGTATAATGTAAAAAAAAATGATAAAATGCTTTACGTCCTTTGAAAAATTGAGATTTTAATTTTAGTTTTGAGTCTCACGCGGCCGTGATTATTGATATCATTAGCATCCATCCGGAAGCCAATGATATGAGATTTTTAATATTTACAAAAGTCTCCAACTAATGCCTTTTGTCGTGAGACTCAACTATTCATTTTTCCATTTATTTTCATGGAATAATATGAGGTTTACGCGTATTATTATTATTATTATTATTATTATTTAAAGTATTTTACCCCCATAGAATTTGACCCCTATATGACCCTCATATAACCCCCTATGACATTCTTATGACACTTTATGAACCTATAGAGATATGTACATATTACAGAGATAGAGATAACAATTCGTTTTTAATGGCATCATCAGGATCAGAATTAGGGTCACAGTAAGGGTCAGAATCCGGGGCATCTCCTTAATTTTTAAACCTCCTTATTTTTTTATTAACGATCGTAAACGACATGTTCGTAGACTCATTAAAAAAATCAAACAAAAATACTTGAAGAACTCAGGCCAAGGAATTTCTATGGTAAATATTTAATTGAATGAATTGTATAGAAAAATTAAATCCTATTGATTTTTTCTAATAATGGATTGTATTTTCTTTGAAAAAACTGTAGAATGCCATTTTATAAGGAATAAATTTGTTTATTCTGTGCTTCCCCTTTCTAATCTGCTAGGATTACTTAATAAATAACATTCAGTCATCATAAAATTAGTATACAAAATATAAATACTGGAGGGAATTGTATTATGTAATGGGTTGACACTGCAGACGCACAACGTCCAATGTTTCCAGTTGATGCATTCATAATTAATGAAGTAATAATCACGTTCAGTCTCGACCTTCGTCGATTCCAGACACTGTAACAAATGCAGAATCATGCACTCACTTGTACGAATCAACAAAACTGAATGGAAGGAATTTAAATCAAGGAATTCCTTCTTTACTTTTAATAATCGATGTCAGACATAGAACTTACTCTAAATGGGAAAAAATAATCGAAACTAGTCTGCTATAGTAATTTGGGTTGACGCTTCAGGCTCGACATATCCAATATATTGTGTGAATTGGGTGGAGTTTGTTTCGAGTGGATTAAATAATTTTCACGTTGACAATCTGGTAATGCCTTCGGTGATCCTTGGAATCGTCGATTGTTATCAAATTTAGGAACTGGAACACATGGAGAAAACCATTTATTCAATTATACCATTCGTTAAGTTCAACGACAAACCAATTTTTTTAGACAGAATAAAAGAGATTATCTCATTGTCAAATAGAAATTGAACATGTTGGGCAACGCTTTTTAAGCTCTTCATGTTTGGAGATAAGATGTGATAAATTTCATTCAAATTGTTTTTGTAGGGGATGACGAGAATTCAAAAGGATTCATTGTATTTGATATCACATTAATGGAATATTCTTGGAGAAAAATCAAGGGATATTGGAGTACATAAGAAAAAAAACAAGAACTATACCATTTTCATTTGGCTTATGATTAGATCAAGGCAACAGAAAATTTTTCACGTCTATGAACAAATTATGTGTGATGTTTCAATATAATATTTAATGTAAATACACGCACATAAATGTCATTGAAAAAATCTGTAGAATTTCATTTTTTTATACGACTGTTTCTATTGAGAATTGTCTACAGGAATTTCTCGACATGAATTTTTCAAGCTTTTTCTGCTTTATTGTCCTTCTCTTTTCACTGAAAAATCAAGCAAATAAACTCAGAAAATTTGTGCCAAGGAATTGCTGATGAAAATGTCTGAATGGAATAAGTAATATATAAAAATCGTATTCTATTGATTTTTCTATAAAATATTTTCCATTAAAAAATTCTATTGAAAAAAGAAATGTGCAGGTAACCTGTGGAATTTTTCAACAGAATGGACAAAAAACTAATAAAAAGGTTTACAGAAATCCAATCCAATTTTCTAGCCAATTCGTTACGTTTTTCCACTTAAAAAAAATCCAGTGTAACGATTTTTGAAGCCTCTATTCCGCTTATCAAGTATGTAATATGATGACTATGCATTTTTGTTATGTACTGTAATCTTTTATCTACAGTAATTGTAAAAAATGAGAAATTCATTTTTTGCTACAATAAAAAAATACATAGTTCTGTAAAAACATATATATATATATACAATAGTATATATGTATATATTATATAATAGATGCTATATATGTATATAGTACATAATACATCCTTAAAAAAAGAACGCAAAAAGCAAAAGTGAACCGAAGAAGATGAAAAGGATTATGACGATTCCGAATAAATTATTCAACAATTAAATTCTCATTGTGAAAAACTTTGTTGAAACCATTCATTTTTGCTGCATTACTATTGAAATAAAAATTAATCAAAGTGAGAAACGGTAGGGTAATTAACGGTAAGGAAATTTTGCTATTGTGGCACCGATGGAAAACAATACGGGCCCCCTGTTCTAGTCTGAAATTTTTTCGTACGCCTGTCGCCCTCCCTTATCCTAAGTCGCAATAAATGAACTCCTTACCTTCATTACCAGATGCCCCAGGCATATTATTCTGAATATTACTCAGCACCATGCTAGTGAACAGCTCCATCCCCCTCTGATGACTGGAGACATTGGGCAGCTGTTTGGTCCCCAAGTACTTCATAGCCAGTGCCTTCATATGCATGCTGGTATTACTATCACTCACAGACCCCGACGTCTGAATGACATTGGCCTGATAATCCAGCCTGGGATAGTACGAAGCATCAATCGGAATCGGATTCATTCTCCTGCCATCGACCAAAGATCTCCCCTCAGAGCATCCAGAGGTATCAGCAAACGTGAAGCCAAACAACTTCAGCTGCTCCACCGTCGATTGCTGTATCCCATTGAGCAACAATTTGGGTCCATTCGTCTCCTGGACGATCTCCTGTCTCTTCTCCACACGTTCCTCCTGCGTGTTGTGAAGAATTTCGTTCACCTGGCACATGACATTGTCATACAGAGTCCACCCAACTTTGGGGGTCTTCTTGACAGACTCCACGTCCTCAGGAGGTGAATCAGTCCTGAGATTTGATGGAGCAACTCGTGATGTTGGTGAATATTTTTGCTGATTCGGTGAATGATTGTCTCCACTGGAAAATCTTTTCTGACCACTCGCAACATCTGGCTGTTTATGAGGTCGAGTCTCAATCCCCACACGATTCGTCTGGCTCAGAGGGACAACCGGACTCTGCTGACGATTGATTTGTGGCAATTCCACACAAGTCGACAAATCTCCCTGGAAATTTCCCTGCAGTGACTTCCTCGCGGACGAAACCGTATGAAAATTATTACTGGCTTGAACAGTAGACGACAAATGGCTCTCTGAGTCCTCGATAATCTGCTCCAAAGGTCCATTCGGTATTTTCCCCACAGCAACAGGAGTCCTGCTGCCAAGATTCTTGTTCCCCTCTGAGTGGGGAGACTTTTCTTGATAATCTGTGGGCGTTGGCACAGCATCAACATTATAAACCACTGAATCCTGAACAGTTAATTCAAAACTCGTCATGACACCTATCGACACCTTTTTCTCCTTTATCAGCTGTTTGCACTTGTCGTCCCTCTGTTTCTCCTCGAATTCCTGAATTTCTCGAGGGGATTTTGGGTATTGGAGACATGGGTTCTGGAGAGCCGGATCAATGGTGTTCGTGGCGACGTTGTGGGCTGGGAGGGGAAGTCTCTGGTAGTCATTCAACTCCCTGGGTCTCTCGGTTCTGATTGAGAGGAGAGTCTCCACTTGACCCTGGAGCATCTGTATCTGGGCATTTTGACTCTGGACTAGGGACAGCAGTTTGTTTATTATATCAGTGTTCTCTGAATTATGGGAATGACAGTCGCAGGTATTTTTTATTCGATCCACTCTGTCCTGGGGGTTTGACGAGACTTCTAGTTTTTCTTTTAGGACTACGTCTGAGGGCTCTTGGGGTCGAGAAGCCACTGGGAGAGATCTTTGGCGTCTTCTTGGAGGGGATTTCAGGGGATTATTCATGGGGAGGATTTTACTCTCTGCTGGAGAAGACTCTGGGCCGATTTTTTGGTAGAATTTCAGGCGAGAGTCCCTTGTGAAAGTGCTTGGAGGAAGATTCTGGGGCCTTTCGATTATGGCAAGGGCTGCCGTTGGCTTTCGAGAGGTTTCTGATGATGAGTTACTTCGGGATATTCTTTGCACCATTCCACCATCGATTTTATTGTTGTAGGTGGGTTGATGGGGCACTTGTTGCTTCCACTGGGCATAGGAGGTTGGCAGAGTTGAGGATCTAGGTTCATTCGGAAATGGATTTCGTTGTTGGGGGGTGTCGAACGCCAGGGACACCTCTGGCACTGTTGGCACGGTTTCAGTCTGGAATAGAACGTTGTTGTTATGTATATAGTCCAACTAAATCTTCTTTTCCCTCCGAAAACTAATTTCAAGCCACAGGTTTCCACGGTTTTCACTGTCGAAATGTTGATTTCTCAATGAAAACAATTGAAATACGATTTTTCAAAGGGAAATAGTAGATTACACACCTTGGCCAGTAAAGTAAGGAATCTCTCAGATCACATGTTTGTTGACCTCGGCTTCGCCTCGGCCGACAAAAACATGTGATCTGAGGCTTTCTTATTTACTGGCCAAGGTGTGTATACTATTTTTCTGCTCGACGTAGCCGGAAAGTGGCAACTTCGTTTAGCGCAGCGGCCAGGAAGTTGACGCTTTCCGGCCGGAGGGCAGAAAAGAAATTTTAGTCTGTGTTGTTGTTATTGTTTTGTTTATGGAATTTGAAAATAGAGGAGGTTAGGTTGGTTACCGGGGCTGCGGTTGGATGTCGAGGCACTCTTGGTTCGATTTCACCAGTGACATTGCAGTTTCTGTGGGCCATTTTAGTATATACTGTGGGGGTGAGTTGTTAAAACATTGATCGGAATCGTTTGATTTTTAATTTTTGGTGTAAATTTGATAAAATACTGATTCCATTTGTCAAGGAGAGCCGAACAACCGCCAACAATTCCGACAGTGGGGGAAAACTTTGGGGAGAAGACCCTAGGAATTCACTGAAATTGTGTTGGTTTTCTGAATCCTCTAGGTTTTTCCCACACCCGCCTTCCTTAAATTACAACAGAAATGTGCAATAGAAAAAATTTATAGATTTTTATTTGTCTATAGAAGTAATTCTTTTGAGATTTCCCCTATAAAAATTCCTGAAGACAAATTGTCCTAGTTTTTTTTTGCGGTATTTTGTTTGTTTTTAACATAGGAAAATAGACATATTTATTCTGATTGAAAAATACAAAAAAGGCAAGTTATTTTTTACTTGGAGATATTTACACTTACGACAGGGGCACCCTGGTGATTTTTGATAATTTATACATTAAATAGACATTATACGATAAATCATTTTTTACTTGTATTTTACGATAAGAAAATAAAAAGAATAGCAAAAGTTTTGAGGCAATATTTTAGGTCAATATTTGGTGGAACCACTCAGTAATACTTTGGCTTGGATTTTCTAAGTTTTGTTTGTTTGATTTTTTTCAATGAAAGGAGGAAGAACACAGAATGAAGCAAAGTTAAGAAAGTTAGGTGGAGATTGTTCTGAAGAAAGTATTCCAATAGAAAAAGTCATGTAGAAAAATCAAATTCTATAATCTTTTTCTAAACAAGTTTTTTAACGAAAAAACTTGAAACTTGTTTTCTATTGAAAAAGCGGCGAAATTTTTCGATATAATCGGCGATAAAGTAACAGAATTTCCAATAAAAGATCAAGAGAATTCTCGAACAAATGCGCTAGGTTTTTCCATAATTTTTTCTTGTGTTTGCATAATTTTTCGAAAATTAATTGAAGAAAACTCCCGATTTTTTCCATGAAGTTTTTCGTGTTTTCTTCCATTTGAATTGTCAAATTTTGACCTTGGAGTTGAAGAACATTTGAAAGATGATCCTTCAAATCTCTGATAGATGTCCTGACTTCTTGAATTCTCAGTTGAATGCTAGTTATATCCAGAGCATCCAAAAGCGTCTGGTTCCTCAGTCGCTGGGCTGTACTAAGCTCGAAATTCCTCTCGCTTGGGGACTGCATTTTTCACGAATTCACTAACAATGCACGGAATTTCACTTCACTTCACTTTACTTCTGACATCAATGTAAAGTTATGAGACCGTTTATCAATGAAAAGAGTTTCGCAAGCATGAAAAGCCTGAAAATGTGTGATTTTATCCTAATAAATTTATCATTTGTAGCAGAAGCTCTTGTACAGATTTTAGATGAATCCCACTTTTATTACATTAAATTTCGTACAGAGGATCAACCTCAATCTCCGATAAAAAAGGCATAATTCCATTTCTTATAAATTGTCTTAAACTGTTAACTCTACATCCAAATTAAATAAGTTATCTAAATAAACCACAATTTTTCCCAAAGCGTTTTTCGATAGATTTCGTGACCGATGAATTCTGATTAAAGCCGATGGCGCCGAAGCTGATTGTCCAATCGTGCTAGCTGGTACAGGAAGCCCTCATTTGGATGAATGCTCCGACTCTTTCGTATCAAACGGATCGCTTCCTCAGCCAGTAGGTGACGTTTGATCATCAGGTATGCAATTACACAAGTTGCACTGCGTGATACTCCTACCATACAGTGAACGAACACTGTTCCTAATAATTTAAAATCCATTCAATATTTTATCAGATGTTAAAATAAGAAGAAAATTTTAGTTATTTACATAACTCATTACACTAAATCATTCTTAAGATTATTTTTGTAGAAATGATTAAGCATAAGCTTTCCAAATTTTATTATCGCATTTTAAAAATTCTCATTACAAAATTCAACGGAAAATAACTCGAAAGATTCATGCTTTGATTTTTCCATGCTTTTCATTAAATTCCATTTAATAAAACGTAACTAAAAAAAGCCGTCTATACAAATCAAATTTTGCTAATTTTTTTCTATCATAATGTATTTTATAATGTATAAAGGGGCAAAATCGTATAATTTTTAGAGAAATGAGTAAAAAAAATGAGTTCCAATATAATTTTCCAGCGAAAGCGCAGCAACAAACATTGAATTCCAGAAATTCACACTGTAAAGTGTGTTCTAGAAAAAATTGAATTGCAATTATGATTAAAATCGTATTCAGTGAGCATGGGGATTAGAACATGAGCATTTATTGTAATAGGAAGATTTGATAGTTGATAAATTGGGACATATAATTCTCATCGATCGTATTGTTTTTTGTAATGAGAACGATTATAAGCAATTAATTGAAAAAATGAATGTCGAATCTGACAGGAAAAAGGGCATCAACAGGGGGTGGCGCTAGTGTAAGGAAGACAATTACGCTGTGACTGCGCGTACGGAAAAATGTAATAGAAAAACCTGTCGATTTCGTTAGAAAATTCTATTGAATTTCTATTAAACTTTCTATTAGTTTTTGGCTGATTCTATTGACATATTTTCTATAGATTTTCCTCGACTCAAATTTTCTAAGTTTTTTTCATTCTATTTTTTTTTTCTTCTCATCAAGAAAATCAAACGAAAAAACTTAGAGAATTTGAGTCGAGGAAAATCTATAGAAAATATGTGAATAGAATAAGTTATGTAGAAAAATTGAATTCTATTGACTTTTTCTACTGAATATTTTCTATTGAACATTTCAATAGAATTTTTTGACGAATTTGATAGGGTTTCCTATTAAATTTTTTCGTCCGTGTGGTCATCACATTTCAAAAATTATTTACCTCCACTCTTTATGGCATCATCAATGAAAACCGCTGCTGTATAGAAATATTTGCTAATGTCTACCGAAGGTAAATCTGCCAGAGGTAGTCCCAAATACTGCATTCCAACATCTCTGTAATAGTCCTTGTTCGTTGGAACGAACCCGAAGCGGGTCCCCTCTGCTGCATTCAACACGTGAGTTACGCCGATACGCTTCAAGTAGCTCTTGTTTTTTGCGGTGGCCCTATCGCAGAGACGAGAAAAATTGATCCAGAGAACTCGTAATATGACATTAGTGAACATACAGAATTGAAATTCCTTACGCATCACCAATCAAAATTCCTGGATAAACGATATCACAATCAATTTCTTGCTGGAGACGATAATACCGTGGGTCATCACGGTCCATATCAAATCCTGGCAGAGGCTTATGCTGGACTGAAGTCGCAATAAGAGCCCTTGATAAAGTGGCTACTGTTGTTTCCCCATTCAGAGGCTTCTGAAAATCCTATTCAATGAAAGAAAATCAGATTATATTTTGATAACCAGGGGGCTACGCCCCCTGCTCGCTTCGCTCGCCAACCCCCATGATCCTTATTCTGACCCTTGCGACCCTTAATCTGAGCCTCGTGACCCTCGTTCTGACCCTCACTATACCCCTCGTGACCTTTATTTTGACCTTAGTTTCTGACCCTCATGACCCTTATTTGGACTCTTAATCTGACCTTTGTGATCCTTAATCTGACCCTTGTAGCCCTTACTGACCCTCGTGTCCCTTATTCTGATCCACATGAACCTTGTGACCCTTAATTTCGGAGTCTCTATTTCGAATAACAAATTTTTATCATCAGAAGCCGATTTGGATTTTTATAATATAGATAGATACCAGATTGGGTAAATGTTACGAAAGAGGGCTTCTGAAAACTTGACCATCGTATCGGTGATGGGGCCTCTTTCTTAAAATTTACCCCAGATTTTTCAGTGCCTGCTAGTTGGAATTTTTACAATGTACATGTGCGAAGTAATTTTATATGTAAAACATTCTACAAGCAAAATAATTCGTTTTATAAATGAAATTTCCACTGAAATTTTTAAAATTTCGGCGTTGAGAAATGAGAAATTGATAAGAAAATCATTAGAATCTGGAAATTCCAATGAAAGTATTCAATGAAAGCCAAGCGAAACGTCAGAAGTAACGAAATGTTAAAAATAAAGCAACGAATAATGTTACATTCAAATATTCATAAAAAATTTATTTCATCTCATTTTTGTTTGCCAACTATTTTCGTGAGACTTTCGAAATTAACAGTGAAATACTCAATTCTGAAGAGGATTCTTATAATAATATGCATCGCTGCGGCGTCGGTGGATTAGCTACATAAAGGGAAAAAATTTTTCGCGCATAATTAAGATGATTTCTTAATTTGGTTAACAATCAATCACGCACGACGGCACCGCGCTGCATTGTGAAAAGTCGTATAAAACTGTGCGGGAAAAATTCGAATAACTTGACCGTATAATTAACGAAACTCCGCATGATTTTCGCTCGCAAATGTCACCATTACTTATCTATTCAAACCCGCATTTGGTATCTTTTTTGGGAGTTTTAGAAAAAAATTCAATATTACACTAATGAAAATACTTTTCATAAAACCACTTGTCAATACGACTCCTCTATACTTCGGAAGATGCTGAATTTTGTAAAATTTTCGTGAACCTCTAGATGCATTGTTATTCATAAATAGCGCGACCAACGAAATGTTAATCGATGGCAATCATCTGACATTGACAACTAACGAAAAGACAACTCACGAAAGAAGAGTTTATGTAGAATTCCACATCTTGTCAGATAACTGAAATAGAATTCTATTGACTTTTTGTTTACAACATTTTCTACTGAACATTCCAATAGAATATTTCAATAGGAAACCAATAGAACTGTCCAGCGAATTCGCTAGGTTTTTCTATTAAATTTTCTCACACATGTAATCATGTTTGAACCGTTACCGTTATGAACTTGATCCCGAATACACTTTTAAACTGGAAGATTCGTATGTACTCCTCATTGCAAAGTCTCGATGCTGTGTAAAAATTTTTGCAAGTGAAAATCACAATATCAATCTCACCCGGTCTCTATCTCTCCAGGTGGTCTTCATCGTTTAGTCAAATGCTTACTGCTATAACATATGAATATTTACACTCATTCCAGCATTGATAGAACGAGTGCCCGAGAGATAAGTATTTTAAGAAACAATTTGTGTAGCAAAATAACACTAAGCGAACTCGTAAGCTTGAAATAATGAGATATTTATAAACCAGTAGGGAAATGGCGAAACAAGACAAAAGTGATTTTGGGTCAAGATCAGTACATACTGTTTTCCAGAACTGCTGAGGGAGTCAAAGGCGTTCTTGAAAACTTGGTATGAAACACGTTTTTTTTTTCATCGGATTCATATTATTTTTTCGTCGATTGTATTGAAAAATTTCCAGGCTTTTTTTGCCTTTTTTTAAAATAGAAATGTTCAATAAAAAATTACAGGCGGCTGTATCTTAGATACAGCTGTAATTGTACGTGGATACGTCCATGGTCTTGCCTTCTTTCTCAAATTTCCTAGAAGCTCCTTATATTCCCTCGAATTTTCTGGAAACTCCGTTAATTCTCTCGAATTTTCTAGAAACTCCCTGAATTTCCTCGAAATTTCCAGACACTCCTTGAATTTTTTCGAAATTTCAAGAAACTTCTCGAATTACCTCGAAATGTGTAGAATTTTATAGAATTCCAATAGATGGCACTGCACATAAGGACCGTTTTCCAGAATGACCCCCCATATTGAAATCATAGACGTATCCACGTTAAAAAGTATTTCATGAAAAAAAGCCACTAGATTTTGAATTTTACAACTTATTCTATACAAATATCTCGGGTTGAATTTTCCACGTGTTTGCTTCCGAATGAAAAGTTTGTAATCGTTCGAATTTAAGGTTCCAATTTTTTGTGTTAGGGTAACTAAATATTGTCGAGAAAGTGCGGATATGCGATTTTTAGATGGTATATGCATGCATGTACGCGGTCTTCTTTCTTCATTTTTTTTTAGAAATTTTCTTAAAAAGGATCAGTTTAATTTTATGGATGTTATCATGGATATCGACTTTAATAAATGCTATTCCTTAACACTAATTAACCCTCTAAGGTGAAAGTCGGCCTGCGTAGTACTGTGTCCGGCGAAGTGGGGACGGGCATTTCTTACGGAAAGTGTGTAGAGTGGTGGAAACGCCCATTCACCTGAGAGGGTTAAAATTCAAGTTTTCGTACATATTCGAAAAAATTGATATTTTTCCAAAAATCTATTTTTCAACGATCATTCAAAAAATGTTCACTAAAAAGAAAAGAAAAATAGAGTGAAAAAAAATTACAAAATTTGAGCCGAGGAAATTCCATGATAATATCTTCATAGAATAAGTTGTACAGAAAATTCGAATTGTGTTTTTATTTTTTCTATAGAATATTTTATATTGTTGTATTTGATTCAAAAATAATTCAGGATCAATCGAAGGGGCGTATCTATTGACAGTTCTTCAGAGTCAATCATAGAACAAAGGTGGATCACGGGTGAAGTTATATTCCCAAACATTAGAGAATGACAATCAACTTTCTTTTTATTTGACAAAAGAGAGAAAGAAGATAGATTAAACCATTCGATTCCGTAATAATATTAACCATTCAATACCATCGGCCCAAAGCTAATAGATAGTTCAATGGAAATCCAATAGAATTGTCTTGCGAATTCGTTAGAATTTTCTATTAAATTTTTTCGTGCCTGCCTTGACATGAAAAAATAGAAGAAGAGAATAGCTTCAAAATTATCGGGTATTTCCCGAGGTTCGTTGCAAACAAACGAAGGAGTCAAGTTGTTCAGGCTAAAAAATCACGAGTGCAAAGCACGAGTGTTGAGTGTTTTTCACTCAATTGAATAATCTTTTGTTTTTTGATATAGCAACTACCAGAGAAAATTATCAAAAATTATCAGTTGAAAACCCTGTAGGTTCTACCACGTGACGTCGAATGGTGGAATTCTATTGGCTAAAATTTGGATGGGAAAAATTCTCTATAACATTTTGTATATTAAATATTTTTGTTTGAAAAACCACGCAGAAAAGCTGCAGAATCTTTCAGTGGAATTAGCGAAAAACTAGAATTTTCCACAGAAGTTCAATTAAATTTCTTCGCGACTGGGCTGGGTTTTTCCATGAAATTTTTTCGTACGATCGTCATCACCCCGCCAATTTAATCATGATTCTGTCTCACCGATTTGCGACCAATAGAAATGCTGCATTTGGTCTGAAGTGGGGTAATAACATTCAATCCACTTCGGATTATGTTTCGAACTCTGTCAATCACTCAGCGCCGGTAGCAAAATTGAAGGGAGATATGTACAATGAAGTTGAAGACCGGTCAAGTTGGACAATCGAAATATTCATCTAAAGGTTATATTTAAAAATAAACAAGTTGTATTTCGCAGGAAAACCTCTCGCGCAGCGGTCGGTATTTACCTCTGCGAAACTTATTGACAGTTTCGTGAGGGTGCAACGAAGTTATCGAGAGATGTCTAAGAATTCTCTAGATCTTGGGCTATTGCTATTCGGAATATTTTAATTTATTGTGAATTTCAATCAATGTGCGAATGAGAATGGATAGAAATGATTTTCAGTTTTAATTTTGTGCGATCATTCTCACCTGCCCTGCCATCCTCGCACGACTCAACCACTGTGTATTTGTCCTTGCCCTTGGATAGATTACTACGCAGTTTGGTTTTTCCTCTCAAAACTACCAATTACAGTGAAACGACATTGTTAACCTCCTCTCCACTCCTCTCGCATATCAATCTGACGTGCTCTACAAACGGTCGTTCCTCATAAAAACTCAGCGTGATGACTTTTAAAAGAGCGCGAAATCGCAAACGCTGTGACTTTCGATGCAACTCAATGAGATATCTCATATCGATTAGACTTGATGAAATGAGTTTGGGAATTTTTAACAAACAAAGTGGGAAATTGCTCCTGTATTGTATATAGTATAGTTATTTTTGCTAATAAATTAGCAATATCAGCAGCGAAGTGGTCAAACGGTTTAAGTCAATTTAGTCTTTAGCTGAGTTTTCCATAAATATTTCCGAATTTAAGGGCGATAGGGAAATTTTCATAATAGCCTTTTTTGTAGAGCGAATTAAGTGCTACTAAAAAGGTCATGAGAAAAATTTTGTTATTTGCTATAAGTTTTCAATTTTTTTTCAACTGACATTAAAACTGTCAAATAAATTGCGAGAAATTTGGTTTTTTAATAATAAATATTCAGCGTCATTAAAATTACGTGTTGCACAGAATAATTATTTTTTTAAATATTCGTTGTTCATAAATAGATAACTGAAATAGTTTAAACTTTTGGAACCATTATTTTTTTATTTAGACACGAAATCGATTTTTGATAAAATTCTGTATTGGATTTCATGGAACGAAATAGTATTCAAAAATCAATCTCTACATAGCTCGACACACTTCAGTATCACCACATAAAATTCTTCAGACTGGGGTTCAGGGATCCCCATCAATATTAAATTTCAGTAATATTACCCAAATTTGCCCTTATATTATTGAAGGTTTAAAATATGTTGATTCAATTTTTCCAATATTATAATATTAATAATCTGATTTTTACGAATAATGCAATATTTAAAATTTGTTAATATACAACTGTAAATTTATTACTAAGTGAATAATTCAAATTTTAGAAAGGGGGATTTTCGATTACACAAGTAATCGTCAATTTTCCTACCTAAATTGTCGATTACCCAAGTAATCGTCAATCGTCCTACCTTAAATTAGTGATTGATAAAATACTTAAAATTTGAATATTTGAATTGATGATATTTATTTACTCAAAAATTACAAGGTTGATGGTTTTTCAATTTAAGGGCTCAAAAGTAATAGTAATAAAATATTACAAATTTGGCTCCCTGCTGGGGTTCTTAAAACTGTTTATATTACGTGGCGACTACATGGCGGGTGACTACGAATATTATGAACAAAACATAGAACAAAGGACAAAGAGAAAATGTGTTCCAAGTGGTCCAATGTACTGGTCCTTATTTTTCTGAAGTTAGTCTCCGACATCCGGAGTTAGAGTAAAGAACGAGATGTGTCTTCTACGTGCGACTGAATAAAGATAGTCACAGTCAAATTAAATTCACAGAGTTATTAATTCAATCTCACCCATAAATCCAATATTCTGAATATAGATAAATTTGTTACGATTCCAAACAAATGATGTTGGCAGTATCTATTCACACGCTCTACGGTAAATTTTACCGTGGTTCCACGGTAGATTCTCACTCACATCTTGTCTGACATCTCTGTTATGAACTTTGGTTTTGAACTCTGGTTTCAGAGTTGAAACCCAGAGTTGTGCCAACATTGTCCAGTGAGGTCTAGGAGTCTCCCCTGGTTCAAAAATCATCCTTCGAATCATTTGCACGCCATTTCGCGACCCACTCTTTCACTCGGGCTTGAGAAGTAAAGAGTTGAGGGTCCACGATCTCCCATACATCCACGGTAGAAATTACCTTGAACCCACGGGAAAACGCCCCGTATATCCACGGTCAAAGTTACCGTGGAGCGTGTGAATAGACACTGCTAATGATGTTTATGGTGGAAAACAGATGGGGTTCAAATGAAAGCTCTGATGTTCGACTATAAAAGTATAAACGCATATCCAAGTACTTTGACTGTTTTTTTCTCCAAACACTGGAGAAAAAAATTGTCAAGTATTTGGATACCCTCCAGGTTTTGTCAAAATGCATTCATTGCACGGCTATGAAAATAGGCAAAATAACAAATAATTAATCTCGAATTGCAATTAACGAAGCTTATACGTAGTATTGCTTAGAAATTTGCACTGACTTGCGGAAGGAACACCGCGGCGAGCTGGGGGGGGGAGCTTTTATGGAGAAAGGAGCAGTTCATTGGCCCTTCTATTGTACTTCCTCAACTTCGTATCTATAATATGTGGTTTATAAGTAAAGAGTAGCTCAAAGAAGAAGCAAGAAGAAGGTAGCTTTGTATACCATGTATTTGCCCCATCATTATTCGTCATTTCATATCCCTACGCAAAATTTCGTTGATAGACGGAGTGGTGTCGCGTATAAATTTTTCATACGACGTGTAGTGGTGGTGGAAGGAACGCGATTCGTGCGCAGCAGTCAAGTAAGCCTATTTACACCGGGGAGTTGGACACGAGTAGAGTTGAAGTAACTCGTCGGTGGAAACACAACGATGAGTTAGGCTCAGTGGAAACGAGACAGAAGTTGGCTATTATTTCCCATGTAAAAGGAAATCCATCGAACTCCTTTGAGTTTATGTCAACGCTAACAACACATCAAGTTCGTACGGTGTAAATACACTCGCTGTCGTTGAACAGTTTCGCGGTTCATTCTCGATCCGTCGCGATAATCAGTTCACGGTCGTTTCAAAATTGACTATTTTTGTTACTTCATGTAAGACCTTCTGGCGAACATCATCGGTTTTGAAAAGGGTTCTTTCAGGAGAATAATGAAGAGAAATATCGAAGATTTTTGGGACATAGATGCCCTACGTGATTTCCGAACATACAAAGTCACAGCGCAAATTATGGGTGTCTGGCCATTTACGTGTCAGGAAACATTCTCCAAAACTCGTTTCTTTTCTATCATAATAATACTGGTATTTGGAAATTTTTTACAGTGTTTTAAGTATTGGCTATTTTATCGCTTTTTTATCGCCTTTATCCCTTACAGTATATTGGAAAAGCTATTCATTCGATTGACTCAATCTAGTCAGAAAATACTTTCTACTTGAGCCGATCAGACTTCGGACAGTTACGAGGAATTATGAAATTGCCCTCACACGGAGAGATCGGATGAAATTTGAAGTTTCGCAAGATTCCGGTCTGAATGATTCATGAATATTCCATGGTTTTGTAAATCATTCAGGTAGGAGTCTAGCCTGAATAAAAAAAATTAAGAATAAAAGATGACGTTCTGTGTTTGTAAACGTTCGTCTAAGGAAGACAGTTTGCACTGGCAAATTTTGAACAATTTCTGCAACAATTTCATATTCGTTAGGTTTTTTTTGGATCCTACGCCAACAATGTCTCTGTCGTGGATCTTGATCATGAAAATTGTTGTTGAAATTTATATGCTGTATAGAGGCTGATACTTCAAATTATTATTACCTAGAATTACACGAGAAAACTTAATGACTACCAACCTCAAAGGAGTGATTTTAAGTGGATTATACTATCACCAGTCAACCAGCTATAACTGTCTTACCTTTCAATCTCATCCGATTCTTTACTCGTGTAGTTAGAATTGTGGAATAGCTATAATATAATTGAGAACGTCATTTCAACTTCAAATGCCAGACCTCCATTGCGCCTGGAAATTTTACTTATCGGTCCGAAAATCACAAGTCTCATGATATACAGGGATCGGCATAATTATAAATTATAATTAATGTTAGTTGATTACTTGCATAATCCAATATTCGAGGGGATGATTGATTAATTAAGCAATGAATAATTTAATGACCAAGGATTGCCAATTATTTTACTAATCGACAATTGCTATGAGTCCTGATACATTTTTCGATAAATGAATAATCACCCAGTAACGATTACCAATTAATTAGTCAATTGTCTATCAGAATAAAAAATTAACCGATTAATGTGCCAACTGTTAATCTTGTTCGATTCTTTCTCAATTATTCAAAGAGGAATTAATTGAATCTGGAATTCAATTCATTCCGATTCCGAAAAAAATAATTATTCAATTAATGAGTAATTTTCATGGAGAGATTTTTAATTATTTACTGAATCATCAATTAGAATTCCTAATGATTCAATATTAGCCCGGTGGCCTGGCGTAGTGGTTAAGGCCGTTGCCTCACAACGGATAGGTTCCAGGTTCGATTCCTGGCCGGGTAGAATGGTGAGATCTAACCATTTTTAAAGTCTTGATCAATCGCCATATAGTCTCATCAGACTCGAAGCGATATAAAATAAGCATAAAAAAAAAAAAAAATGATTCAATATTCCGATCAATCATCAATCATACCTAGAAAACGTTCAATACTTGAATCATTTCATAATCGAAACGAAATAAACTTTCTTTAGGTAACTGATGTGAGAAAATTTTCGATTATTTCATCAATGGATAATTATCGCTGCATATTATGCAATTATTCAATGAGTCATCACTGAACCTCCAAAATTATGGAATAATGCAATCACTGTAAGAGCTTATCAATTCTAATACTTAATCGTGGGAAAACCACTGGATCGATTCATTCCAGTCACATTCTGAGATCGTTAATTCCAATTACATAATTTATTCATGAAAAATCCTTGCCTTAGCGATTTAGAATTTCATGCATAATTTTTTGTAATGATTGCCAATTGATGAAATAATCGAAAAATTGAGATAATTGCAATTATTTCGAAAAATATTGGAGAATTAATGATTATTGCCTATCTCTGAGAATATATTCTCTTCATCATAGACTTTGTGATGAAAAGTAGCATTCGGCACTCGTAGAAAAACTTTTGTGTGTTTAATACTGAATTGAACTATCGCTTCAGTATTAATGATAGTTATCAGATAGTAATCGAGATAACTAACAGATAGCTATTAGAGATTTTCAATGATTGATTTCTATAGACTTCTATGGCAGCAATGCTTGTGCAAGATATTCTCAGAAATTGCGGTACTATCAATGAGGCATTAGAATCAGCTGTGTTCGTTCCAAGTGCATTGCTCGGAATACTGAAGATTACACTTCCGAGAATTTATTGGAAAAATATGAAATCCATCATACTGTCTACTGCGCAAGATTGGTCAACTACCACTTGTACTCAATCTCGCAAAATTATGGGAAGAAGTTCGGTGGTGAGCACAGCGGGTTTCCTTTTTCTACTCGGTGGTTCATTATCTATTTCAGTGCTGGCTGTCCTTCGCAAAGCTGCATTAAATTTTCGATTGAACAGTGAAAATTCGACAATACAATACGTGGCGCTCGGTGCTGGTTGTTGGAGGTCAGATCTTCCCATGAACATATACTTAATATATGCTACGCAAAGTATTCAACTTTGTATCATGCAGTTATGTGTGAATGGGAGTGATGCTTGCTATTACCAAATTCTTAGCCACCTTAGTGGTCAATTGAATATATTGAAACTGAATTTGGAGGGATCCATCAATTCATATGACGGAAAATCTTCACCAATTGATGCATTTGTGAAACAGCATAATCGTCTTCTGAGGCTGTGTTATCATGTGGAAGAAACATTCACTTTTGTAGTCTTGTGCCATTTAATGACCAATTTATGCTTCATAAGTAGTGCTTGTAAGTAAAATATTTCAAAGCACGTATTCCTCCAATAGACTACTTGGATTCTATTTTCTAGTGATGATAGTGTTGACGTCATGGAGTGAAAATGAAGAACGCGGGAATTTGGTAATATTCGGTTGTACAACAATATTTTTTTATGGTCAAATGTTCTTATTCTGTTTTGGAGGTGATGTCATAACGACGAGAACAGAAGCATTATTTCATTCCGTTTACAGTTATCCGTGGTATAAGTTAAAAGTGTTTGAGCGTCAAAAGGTTCTATTCATTTTGACAAAAACAAATTATCCGATGCATTTCACGGCGTGCAAGCTTTATCGTTTGAATCTAGAAAATTTTAAAAATATTGTGAAATTTACTGCTTCATTGTTTTCTTTCATGCGACTCTTCCTACAAAAGTAAAATTGAATTCACTTGATAGTAGAAATGACAATCGCAAAAATCCATGAATAGTATAGGGACACAGTTACAGAAATTGAATACTACGCATGCTTATTGAATTATTACATTATATTAATCCGATAAAATTTTTCATCTCCGATTTTTATTCTTTGCTAATCTTGTTATGTCTTCTATCAAAATGTGAGGGTAGAAATTGAATTGATGGGTATTCTTTATTTGAAAAAATATATTAATTTTAAAACTTTCCGGAGACATTCAAAAATAGAAATTTTGATTTTCTTGCTGATCACGTATCTCTGTTTTTTTCACATTCTTCCATTGAAATTAGATAATAGAGAAGAAACATATTGATATTTTTTCGTCATAAAAAAAAAAAATCAGTTTTTAAATTTTTTACAAAAATCGTTTTCTTTTATTTTCTTGCTGATCATCTCTCCCTGCATTTTTCTCATTTCCTCTCAATGAAATCAGATCATGAAAACGAAAAATTTCATTTTCATAATATGATTTCATTGAGGGGAATTATTATATTATATTGATATTATTTAATATAAATATCTCTTCACTTGAAAATGAAAAAAACTGTTCCCACAATTTGTATACTACAATGGGAATAGAATCCATTAAATTTAATTTAATCTAACCACAAAGAAAAATTAGAAAGAAAACAATAAAATAAATTAATATAATATAATATAATCTAGCGACGGGCGCGAAGCGCCCATTCGCTAGTCCCTCTAGTAATAAACAAATAGATTGATACCGCAAATTTGTGTTTTGAATCCTATTGATAATTCACCAGGGATTATCCACTACACAACATTCACAAAGAACATCTGGATTCAAGTATTATAGTATTAGAATGGGTGAGACGTGAAAACCTCTGCGAATTATCAACTCGAATAGGGATCAGTCCTATTCCAAAATCGCAGTCATCAAATAATTTCGATCGTCCAAAATTCCTACGGACTTCAGTCTGATATATCGACAAATGACTGATTTTAACCAGGATTGATTGAAAAATTTACACCATGCATTCATATATTGAGTACAACAGACTGATCGTTTAAACTGACATGAGACGATTATCAAATATTAATAGTATGAAAATTTTTGACAGCAGTTTGTTAAAATGAAGATTATTTGGCCTGGCGGTCGAAACATTGCTCGAAAATTCAAAAAATTATAAAAGCACACAGAAAAGTGACCTGACTCACAGAGAAAAGAACATCTGGCGGTGAGGGAAAATATTGCAGAAAAAGCCATAGTAAATGATACATAGCAGATCAGGAGTATCGATTCAATGATTGCCCTAGGATTCGTCATCATATTCCTTCTAGTTCTTCTTATTCTGCATTCTTTTTGTTCCCTCCCGTATTTTCGCTGTTATATTTCTTGGAAGAATGTCTTTACTCTTTCATTATCTTCAACGTCGTGTCTTTTTGTGAACAAAGTGCTGACAGAATGGAACACGCAACACATAAAGACTTTTTGTGTGATGACGAGAGCTGCAAAATTTGAGAGTGCAAAACTTGACACAAGCTTTTGGTTGCTGGGAAGCTTGAGGAAAATTCCCCCTAATTTTGAAGCTCGAGGTGTATCTGTACAAATTTAATTTACCAATTTCTATCAATAGATCTATCTAAATTCCCTCAACAGCGGTTATTGCTGTTACTTACTATGGAATTTCATTATTCACAATTTCTTGTTGATAGTTAACATTGAAAAACTAATTCCTTCGACTTTTTTTATGGCCTTTTGAGTCCTCTTTTCGAGTCTCATTTCGGCACTCTATCCAACCCTACGCATGCGGCTACACTGAGAAAAAAAATTTCTAATATCTGAAACATATTTTCTTGAGACAAGTAAATTTCCTTCAATTGCTTAATTCTCTCAGGCATCCCAACTCACATGACCCGAGAAAGACCTCATGCTTTAAAATATTCTTGTACTCAAGTATGATTTTGTCGCAAATGAACTTACTCAAATCGCGTAGAAGAATCGTCAATCTTCTAGTCTTTATTGTTTTCATGATTTTTTCGTTATTCACTTCCAATATTGCAATATGTAAAATATTCATGACGTAACGCGGAACGATAATGATGAATGAAAATTTATTCGAGTTCCGTGAAGTGCACACATTCTGAGATTTAAGCCACTGAAAATAATTTACTTCTCTCGAGAAAATATGTTTCAGATATTAGAAATTTTTTTTCTCAGTGTATGGACTCTACATTGTACCGCATTCGCACTCCTATAAAACATAGAAGTAGCATGGGAAACCACAGGAAATCCATGCCGATACAGGCGGTTACTCTATGAGCAACCTCTCGCTCGCGGGAGCCTTCCGTTGAAAAATTCGGTTCCACGGAGAATCAAACTCACAACCTTTCGTACACTAGACTTACGTCTATCCAACTCGGCCACCGGCGTCGGTTTTTCCTTCGACTTCATGATAATTCCAAATCTTGTATTCATTGCATGTTAGCAAATTTATGAATGATGAGGGCCAATGGTGAACAATTGATCAGGCACTGGAAAGACAGATTGCATCCTGACATTCGGATCGAGCTTGGATCATATATTGACCAGACTAGGAATGTGAGTGACAAAAATGACCGGTCAAATGACGGTAAATTACCGCGGTCATGACGGATAATTACCATGTCCATAAATCTAACGATTCGGTCAGGAATTCGAAAAACGACCAATTCAATTCCGGCGGTCAATTCTCATCTATATAGATGACACAGAAATTTTTATTCGGTTACTCGGTGTCGGCAAGGTTGCTGGCGATCACAGGGACCCTACGTCGCCACTAGGGGTCTATGCGACACTAGATAACTAAATTCGTTCAGCAAGCAATTCAGATGAAGAGCTGAGCGAGCTAGATGAGGGAGCCGGTGGCAATTATGAGAATTAAGGAGAGAAGGACTGAAGACGAGCCTCATCCAGCATCCTCCTAATTTAATATGAAGTTTTTGACCAAAAACAATATATACAGAGACAACTATTTAATTAATTTTGTTGACCTTTATTAAGTTCATGAGTTTATCATGAGTGATCTCGAGTATCGAATTTATGATTGTTTTGTAATTCGTTCCAACAGACGTTAACTTTAAATTATGAAATGCGATTCAATTCCTAACTAATGAAATAAAATAACCAAAAATCTGAACTAAAAAATTACCAAAAAAAAATGACCGTCAAATTGCATCTATATAGAGGAATTTTGGTCATTTTCTTAAATTTTTGACGCTGGTTGTTCATAACGGTCATTTTGCATGAGGAATTATCTCGGTGTCAGAAAATGGTCAGAAAACGGTCAATTTTGCCTGACCTGACCGAATTAAAAAATGACGGTCATTTCACATCCCTAGACCAGACGGATTTGATCGTGTACTGGTCAGGGAGTTCGGATCTAGTACTGAACAAATAAACCGGATTCTGAAATTCGAATCAGGCATGGATCCAAACAAGCGTTACAAATCTGATCCAAAACTGATCGAAACCAGTTTTTACTGATCAGTCCCTTATGCCAGGCTGATTTGAATTTTCACTCAGGTATATTCATTTTTATAAAATGAAGAAGTGTACTGAAAACAGCAGCCATAAAATTTTAACAGTGTCGCACTAACTTGAGTCCGACAACTTAAGGGGACACCCATCCAAGTACGAACCAGACTAGACGCTGCTGGTATCCGGTTAATTCATCCCACAAATTCATCCCATGACAATTCATCCCAAACTATTTCATCCCATTTTTTTATTATTACTGTTTGGATGAAGAATACGCTTGGTTGAAGCGCGTGTCTTATCGAATTAATTTTCAAGTTTTGTACGGATTTTGTAAATCGATGCTGTGGCCTATTACGTGTGGCCGATCTGGCGAATGTTAGCTGAGATGGATAAGAATGATTTGACCGTTTTTTTGCAATGTTTCCTGTTAATCCGTTGACCGATTGTGTAAACAATACTAGGAGGGAATCGTGAAGTATCTGATAGATTTTGATGTTGTGCTCGGTGCCTTTTTCTGTGAAAATAAAGTTAATGTTTTACTCTCCCTGAATTATTGTTCTGATCGTGAGAAATTCCATTGGAATTTGATGTTTGGAATGAAATTGTCGTGGGGTTGATTTGTTTTGGGATGAATTTGTTTGGGGTGAGTTGTCCGGGATAAATTGGTTTGGGATGAGTAGTCCGGGATGAATTCACCTAGAACCGACGTTGCTTACAGCTTGGACGATCGCCGGAGCCGCGCGCTACCCAGGTAATTTGTTGTAAACTGTCGCTCATTCCGGAAATGTATTGTTTCTGCATTTATGTATTACATAACACATCATTATGACACACATCATCATTAATTCACATCTGATGAATTTCGCCTCATTAAAATCGCTCCACCTGATCAGAATCGATTCAGGCACGTGGGTCACTCAAGAATGAGTTGTCAGGTAGATGGTTGATTGAGTCAAGTACTTTCATTTGCAACACAGTTAGTCAATCATCAGTGTGAGAATCAGCTCATGATCAGGTACAGATCAATCAGGTTTAGTCGACATTCTCACTGGCGGATCTTCTCTCAATGAGTATACATAATTATGATTCGACCTGATTGGAAGATCACATAAATTGGTGTCATTTTCCAGTGAAACGTTTTGACCCACGTGGATTCAGTGACTCCCAATATATGCTGTCCTATTCCCACGGAATTTATGGTAGCTAGGAAAGTTTTCTGTTGGTATAAACATAACACGTAATTGTTAACAATGTTAGTATAAACATAACACGTAAAGTGGATAATGCAGCTTGAGTCAAACAATCATAATTTTAACCCTAAAGCGTCAGATGCGATGTTTGAAGAACGTAATTGAGGGAAAAAATTTTTTCAGTACAAAAAACACATTATTAACCGCTTCTCAAACCTCCCTAATTATGATCCTGGCTTTCCAACTTCAGGGGGTCATTATATATCAAGTTTTGTGTCCACATGTATTCCTTTCACTTCAATGAAAGTCATCGAAATAACGGACCATTCATTTCTCATCACAATTATACTTGATTCGGGTTTGGTATTGCTCAGAAATTTCAACTGCAATGAGAAAGAAAATTATTTTTGCTCAATATCCATTTACTTGAGAAAAGTATTTATTTTTCCACTACCGTATTTTTCCACTACCAGTCAAGTCATTTCCAGAAAATTCTTATTAGAGTTCAATTATGACAATTAAATTGCGGTGTCCGCCTAAAATTCCTTTGGAAAAAATTCCTTGAAAAAAATTCCTTCAGAACTAATTATTTTGGGAAAAATTACTTGGCAAATAATTACTTTGGAAAAAAAAATTTGAGAAAAAAAATGATGGAAATATTTTTTTTTTATATTGGTTAAATATTTTTTTAGTTAACTATGGGATTTTCGGAGAGATTATGCTGTCCAAAACAAGTTTATCCCATGGTTTTGGGAAAGAATTATTGCATGAGGCATTTTTACAGGAGGAAATATTGTATGACAAAATTATTTCCGAAGGAATCTTTTCCGGGGGAATTTTTTCCAAAGAATTTTTTCTCAAATATTTTTTCCCAAAGAATTTTGTCCGGGAACCTTAAATTGCCCTAGATGATGATCATGTTGGTTATGACGTTGAATGAACTCCCTCAGTAATTATAAACATTAAAAAATTAATCGCAATTCTTTTCTGTAGAAAATAAGAAATTTAGGAAAAATGAATAATCACAGTTCATCCAAGATCATGTGCAACATAGTCATCCTCTAGAGCAACATGATTATGATAATTGAAATCTAATGAGGCTCGTCTGAGAATGACTCGATTGGAGAAATACGATTTTGAAAAAATAAAAGCTTCTCTCAAGTAAATGAATATTTGGCAAAAAAATTTTTTTTCTTAGTGTGACTTACAGTAAGAACACCGTGGAGGGCTCGGGGAAGCGTTCATGGAGAGAGAGGTTTTGTTAGCCCTTCCATTGCCCACACTGAACCTCGTGTCTATAAGTATGAAATCGCTCAAAGAAGAAGGTAATACCTCCTTTATTTTGACTTCGTGTGCCGCGCATTTGCCCCTTCATTATTGCTCATTTCATGTCCATAGGTAAAGTAGTGCTGATAGACAGGGTTTACGTCGCGTATACATTTTTCATACGATGACAAGTGGTGGTGGAAGAAACGCGAATCATGCGCAGCAGTCACTTGTCGTTGAACGCTTTCGCGGTCATTCTCCATCCGTTGCAGTAACTCATTGGTGCTCAAAATCGTATATTCTTTTTACTCTACGTAAGACTTTCTAAAGGAAATCACAAGTTGTGGAAAGGCTTCCTCGAGGAAAATGATAAAGAGGAATATCGAAGATCTATGGCATATAGATGCCCGTCGCAATTTCCGAATATACAAAGTCGCAGCACAAATTATGGGTGTCTGGCCATTTACATGTCAGGAAAAATTCTCCAAAATTCGTTTCTTTTCTCTTATAATAATACTGGTACATGAAAAATTTCTGAAATGTTCAAATTAATTTTATTCTGATTCAAAAAAAATTGACGCTCACCACCTTTTGGAAAAACTGTCCACTTGATTCATTCAATCTAGTGAAAAAATAAATTTTGCTTGAAAAATTGATATTGATGAAATTGCCCGTACACGAGCAAAAAAAATCTTATGAAATTTGAGGTTCCGCAAGATTTCTCACTGACTATTCCATGAATGTTCCAGCATCATGTAAAAAAATCAGGCAGAGTTCTTCGGATGGACATGTGTTGATGATCAGCAAAAATTATGATAGCCTTTTTTTGTTGAAAGATTATGTTGTAATTTCGTTTGTGGGCTTTTGAAGTGAAGACAGTTTGTCTTCGCAACAGAAATTTAATACAGTTTCTCAAACTATTTGATTTTTATTCTGTCGGGATTCTATGCCGGCAACGTCTCCGTCGTGGATCTCGGGTGACGATGAGGGCTAGTTACCACTTGAAAAATAATTCTATTCTAGTTGAGTAGGACTGCGCACGATACTGAGACTAGTTTAGGATACTCATGAGAGACAAACGCAAGTATTATACCTGACAAGGGGCAGGCCGAGGCATTGCGAGGGTTCAAACATCGCCAGGGTCAAACCTTGTGGGAGTGGAACATCGTCCGGGTCATGCCATGAAAGGGTCAAACGACATAAGGATCATAACTTGTAAGGTTCAAACAGGAGAGGGAGGCCAATCTGACGGATGAACCGACTACCCGGGTCAACCGGGAAAGACAGCAGAATAATCATAAGGGTTGAACAATCATGAATTAAGCGACATAATCAGAAGGCTCTCCCGTTTGGTTCTAGTGATTGTTCTGCCTGCCTCTGTGGCTTGACCCTTGTGACCATTTGACCCACACATGATGACCCTGGCAACGTTCAAGTCCCGCGAGGGATGACTTTAGTGCAGTATAATCCTTGCAAGGTCATCACCCCTGCGGTGTTTTACTCTCGCAATGTTCGATAAGCCTTCCTATTATTTTCCTCGCAAGTTCGGGCAAGCCTTCTTATTATTTTCCTCGATTTATGAACATTCTCCTATTTGTCGATTTTCATACTCATGAGACAAGGCCGAGACGATACTCAAAATTTTTATATTTTTTGAGACCGAGGCGATACTCTCCAAAGTCTCATCTTGTCTCGTCTCGTACGCAGACCTACAGTTAAATACCTCAGCGTTTAGCCTACGGAATTGATAATGGGCAAGCAAAATTGTTTTCCACGGATGCTGAATCGAGTTATTGTGCAATTAATATCAGAGTTATTCAATCATGGATTCTTGCAGATTTCGATGGCAGCCATGCTTGCGCATGATATGCTCAGCAATTGTGGTAATATCGATACTACATTAGAATCAATTGTCTTTGTTTTGAGTGCGTTGCTCGGAATAGTGAAGATAACACTTCCAAGAATTTATTGGAGAAACATTGAATCCATCATAGTTTCTGCTGCCTACGATTGGTCAACTACCATTAATCCTAAATCTCGCAAAATTATGGAAAAAACTTCATTGATCGGCACAGCAGCTTTTATTCTTCTACTCGGTGGTTCATTGTTCATTTCAGTGTTATTTGTACTTCACAAAGTTATGCTAAACTTCCGAATGAGCAGTAGAAATTTGACTACACAATATGTGGTGTTCGGAGCTGGTTGTTGGAGGTCAAATCTTCCTATAAGTATAAACTCAATATATGCTGTGCAAACTATCCAACTTGGTACCATGCAGTTGTGTGTAAGTGGAAATGATGCCTGCTACTATCAAATTATCAGTTATCTAAGTGGTCAATTGGATATATTAAATCTGAATGTCGAGGAACTCTCCCATTCGTATGACCGAAAAACTTCACCAATTGATGAATTCATAAGACGACATAATTGCCTTCTGCGGCTGTGTTGGCACGTGGAAGACACATACAATTTTGTTGTTATGTGTCATTTAATGAACAATTTATGTTTCACAAGTAGTGCTCGTGAGTAATTGTATTTTTATGTACTGCTTCTCACGATTCCTTTTTCTCGCGGAATTGGTAAACATACTTCCTAAACTCAGAACCTTGACAATCACTACGCCTAAGGACATAATGCACCAGATTGGTTATCTTGTGCAGAAGGGGGTCCAAGGGGGGTGAAGCTTCCCGGCGGTGCGGCTAGCGGGGAGAGATACAATCCCCCCACTGAAAAAAACAGTATAAAAAAAACACATCAAGACGAACGAGGGAATTGAAAAAGGAAATTTTTATTTCAACCCGATTTTTTTTTCAACAAACAAAATGCAAATTACAGAATAATTTGTGAAAATACAGCTCCAATTTTGTGTCATGAACGACAAATTCATTAGTTGATTATTGATTTAGTGTTTCAATGGTTTCATCAAATGTTGAAAAATGAAATATTAATGATTAATATAATTTTCAAAATATTCGAATAAATGTTAAACGTCTATTGCTGGCGAAATTCTGACACAGATCACTTTAGTGAATTCAGCTAAATCTTGAAACGTTTATATATTTTTTCTGAATTATTATATATAAGAAAAATCTTTGACAACGGTCTCAGCTAACTTCGCTCCCTATTATTCTGTATTTTAAGAGTTACATTCTGTCTTTAAAAAGTAACAAACACCAAAGGTCGTCTGAATCTGTTTCTTGATCACTGTCGGAGATACATATCTGGCCATTCTCCTCGAATTAAGGAAATAACAAAGAAGTTTTCTTTTTAGATGCCCACGGCTGGTCAGCTGATCGGCCATTGAGAGTGAATCACTTCACTGACACGATGGTTCTGCGGCGCTCTTTTCCCCCAGCTGTCTGGACGCTACGAGAGCACAATATGTCCATCGGTCACGATCGGCTATACATATAAAACATTCGGCTACCATCGGCTGTACGTAATTAGCTATTTGCGTCGAACTGTCCGCAAAGCGTCCATTTATCGACACTTTATGTCCATAAACGGCTTTTTTGTCATTCCGGCCGTAAGGCAGCGTTTCAGTGACGCTCCGCTTCGTTCCGCGTCCGTGAATCTCTGCCTACGGCCGTCATGACAAAAAATATTTTTCTGTACTGCTTCTCACGATTTCTCGTCTGGGAATTGGTATTACATACTTCCCAAACTCGAAAACTTGAAAATCACTACAGAAAAATATTGTTCCTGAGCTGTTGCGATGGGGTTTTTTTACTCGTGTGGTTGGCCAGTCCTCGCCTACGGATCGGAGGCCAACGCCACACGAGTAAAAAACCCCATCGCAACAGGCCGGAAAAATACTAGTTCGTCATACGGCCAAAAAAACTTTTCTGACGAATATGATTGCAGCCCTCGCCTTCGGCTGCAAACCTCATATTCGCCAGAAAAGTTTTTTTCGGCCTAATGACGAAATATACTATTGACGGACACGAAGGGTCCGTACAACAACGTTTCACGGACAGTGTGTTGAAAAAACTGCATTGTACTCGGATTGCAGACTGAGGCGAAGCCGTTGACGGACATGAAGTGTCCCGCTGCGCGTTCGTAAATCGCTGTCTACGGCCGTTCTGACAAAAATATTATTCGTCACTTGGCCCAACAAAACTTTTCTAGCTCACATGATTGCAACCCTCGCCTTCGGCTCGGGCTGCAACCTCATATTTTTCTGTTTTTCACTCAAAATCCTTGTACGCACTCCAACTCCCAAAATAATGAAGATATTAACTTAAAATTTGACATAAAGTTTCCTTTCATCTTTCAAGCGATTCGTATTGATGGGCCGAATGCGTAAGAGTTAAATTGGATACTTAATTCCAGAGATATTGAACTTTGCATGCAAATGTATCTCATTCGATATATCTTAGACTACTCAATCGATTTTATTTAGCCAATAAGAACCCATCAAACAGCCAAGATGTAAACATTCGGAAGGCCGCTATGAATTTGTTGATGGCAAAAAGGGATGTATACACACCTAAGCAGAAAAACTCCAATCGCATACTCACCATCACATGCTCGCTGTCCTCTGATTGTTTTTTACTCATGACCGGTATTGCCCGGTATTACCCGACTCTGAGACTAATCTCGGGTAAAATGACTATTTTATAAAAAAATGGATTGTAAACAATTGAAATTTACTGTCACATTGTTTTTCTTTCTTTAAGTTTGGGGAATATTATGAGGAATCTCCCTTCAGTGATCGGCAGTACCCGCCCTTCCCCTATACGACATATAAATTCCCAGGCAAGGAATTGTGAGAAGTAGTATGAAAACTATTCTAAAGTATGTACTGATTTAATAGATAACCAAATGGTTTCTATTTTTTAGTGATGATTGTATTAACAACATGGAATGAAAATAAAGGACTCGGATATTTGGTAATATTTGGAAGTATAACAATATTTCTTTATGGTCAAATATTCTTATATTCTTTGGGAGGTGATGTCATAAAGACAAAAACTGAATCATTATTCCATTATATTTATAGCTGCCCGTGGTATCAATTACCAACGTCTGAGCGTAGAAAGGTTCTACTCATTCTAACAAAAACTAATTATCCGATACATTTCACGGCGGGTAACTTCTATCGTCTGAATCTAGAAAATTTTAAAAACATTGTGAAATTTACTGTCACATTGTTTTCTTTCTTGCGTCTCTCCCTACAAGAGTAAAGTCCGATTTATTATAAAGAGGAAGGTAGGACAAAGTCGAACATTTTTCATCTTCTCGAAATCCCAATACCTCTAATTATGAAAGAAATATCAAAAACTAAAGTGGATCGCAAATATTCCACTTTGTCCCACTCTCCCCTACACGGAGAGAAATATTCAAGAAAAATTACGGAACATTTCACGTAATCCGCAAGCGAGAATAGTTTTCAGTGAATTTCTATAGGAATATACGAGAATAAATCTGAAACGTTCAGTAAATTTTCGGGTCTGTCACCGAAAAAATACGAAAAAGTCACGTAATTTTTCTGGAAGTTGTAAAATCTAACAGAAACTTCAAGACTTATTATGCCTCAGAACATGAAAATTCTTGGATGTTTAAGAATTTTTACGAAAAGTTCCGGAAATATTACGGAACGTGTTGTTAAAATCTCCCCTTCACGGTGATTCATGGCTAGCCGTGAGGCGTCAGATCGTAGAATTTACGTGACGATTGACACTTTTTATTGAATTTTACTTCGCTCCCAGATTACGTTTCGAAACGTAATTTTTACGTCTTTTTTCTGGTAATTTTAATTGAATTTTATTGAAATTATAATATCAAGAATGCAAGAAATGTACAGCGACACAGTTATATCCAAACATAGTTATTATGTATGAACTAATTTCAGATTAGGAAAATGTCTCATAAACTAAATGCTATGCGCGCTCAATGAATCTATGATAATAAATGAATAAGTTGTTACAGCAGGTCTGTGTTTTGATTCCGATCTATAAGTCACTAGCGGCTTTCTACTACACAACACTCTCAGAAGACATGAATTGAAGCAGTGGGGGCTTGAATCATGAAACCAATTGCGACGTGAATTATGCCCTCACGTACGGTGTCAATGCAATGTATCAACCCACCAGCTTGCCCCATTGGGCGGCGCCAATCCACTGATCGCGGTACTGTACAACAGCTGTTTCAACTAAAAATTGTCTATAGTGTTCGAAAAAATTCCCGAGAGATATTGATATTGAAACATTTTATTGACTGTACATTATGTCGTACAAATATATATCTGACCAAGATCAGTCAAAAAACAAAAACGAATTTTTAACCCCGAGTGGACATTGCTCTCAAATAACGTTAACAAGAAAAATTAGAGAGTGAGGTTCTTTGCCCTTCCATTGCCCACACTCAACTTCGTGTCTATAAGTAAAAAAACGCTCAAAGAAGGTATCTACCTCCTTTCTTTTGACTTCGCACTGAGAAAAAAATTTATTCCTTCCAAGAAAATGTTATTGGTGATATCTTTTTCATACTCTTAGTAGAAGAAAATATCTCTTTTGGAACGTATTTCTCCAGGCCAGTCATTTCCAGGTGCTCTGAAATCAGTTCCAAGCGTGAGAATTATGGTGATCTATAAGAATATTCTTCTGCATATGACCTCGAAGAAACTCCAATAATAATTATTAACATTTGGAATTATTCCAATTTTCTTCACCTGAGAAAATCGTCAATTTGTAAAATCCGGAAGATATCGGAGAACATTTTGTCAAGGTCATATGTAGCATAATAATCAGATTGTTCAACATCACTGTAATTTTTGAGGATAGACTTGGACTCTCTGAAAATGACTGTCCTGGAAAAATTCGTTCTGAAAAAATATTATCTTCTGACGAGAATATCAATCCTTGGCGGGAATAATTTTTTCTCTCAGTGTGTGGCAACGGCGCGCTCAGATCGAGATACGCGGTAGCGTATCGGCCAAGAAATTTACATTACGGCGCGGCGCCGCGATGCGAGTGACCATATCGGGCAGTTTCGCGTGTTCGCGTGTGCACTTTCCGAATGGTTTACACTGAGAAAAAAATTTATTCCTTCCAAGAAAATGTTATTGGTGATATCTTTTTCATACTCTTAGTAGAAGAAAATATCTCTTTTGGAACGTATTTCTCCAGGCCAGTCATTTCCAGGTGCTCTGAAATCAGTTCCAAGCGTGAGAATTATGGTGATCTATAAGAATATTCTTCTGCATATGACCTCGAAGAAACTCCAATAATAATTATTAACATTTGGAATTATTCCAATTTTCTTTACCTGAGAAAATCGCCAATTTGTAAAATCCGGAAGATATCGGAGAACATTTTGTCAAGGTCATATGTAGCATAATAATCAGATTGTTCAACATCACTGTAATTTTTGAGGATAGACTTGGACTCTCTGAAAATGACTGTCCTGGAAAAATTCGTTCTGAAAAAATATTATCTTCTGACGAGAATATCAATCCTTGGCAGAAATAATTTTTTCTCTCAGTGCGTGTGCCGTGTATTTGCCCCTTCATTATTCTTCATTCATGTTGGTAGGTAAAGTACTGCTGATAGACGGGGTTTTACGTCGCGTATACATTTTTCGTACGATGACGGGCGGTGGTGGAAGAAATGCGAATCATGCGCAACAGTCATTTTTTGTTGAACGCTGTCACGGTTCATTCTCCATCCGTCGCAATAACTAGTTGGTGCCCTCAAATTGTATATTCTTCTTACTCTACATAAGACTTTTTGGAGGAAGCCGTAAGTTGTGGAAAGGGTTTCTCGAGGAAAATGATGAAGAAGAATATTGAAGATCTATGGCATGTAGATGCCCGTCGCAATTTCCGAATATACAAAGTCACAGCACAAATTATGGGTGTCTGGCCATTTACATGTCAAGAAAAATTCTCCAACATTCGTTTTTTTTCTCTTATAATAATACTGGTACTTGAAAAATTTCTTAAATATTTGAATTAACTCCTATTTTATTCTGATTCGAAAAAAATTGACATTCACCTCCTTTTGGAAAAACTATTCACTTGATTCATTCAATCTGTTCAGAAAATAATGTTTGCTTTAGTCGCAAAAAACGAAATTAGCTGTGTAGGAATTGAATTTCAAAAAACTAATTCGTAATTATTATTGCACACATTTTTTTTCAATTTTGAAGAAAAACCTCTATAGCTCAAAAATTGGAGGCCCTGACATTGAATTTTTTTCAACTTTTTAAGCGTTTGGGGGGCAAAGGAACAATAACAATTTTTTTTTGCACTAATTATTTGTTTTTAAACATATATAATCGATCTTATGGGTTAAAGTGATTACTTTTTGCAATCTGATTTCGACTAATCAGAGTGCAGTAAACGAAGTTTTGTAGAACATATCACGCCCATAAATACCCCAATGGAGAAGTTATCAGGTGCGATAATTTCTCAGTAGCCTCTCAATTGTTTTCTACGAATTGGACAGATATTCCTCATATTTTGGAATTTTTAGCATAAATAATGAATAATCCTTCAAATACGACTTTTATTATTTTCAATTTCGACGTGTTTCTTGGGAATTTAAATTTCGATAAAACACTTGAACCCTATCTGGCAAGGGGGGGGGGGGGAGGGGTTGGAGGTTATTTCAGTCCCCAAGATACACGTCAAAATCCAAACCAAAAAAATTCTTTTCGAAGAAACACACCCAGACTAGTTGAAAAAAAATCGCGCCAAGAAAATCGCTATTAAATTACACCTAAACCAAGGGTCTTTTACGTTTCACTAAGCGTATTTCGATAAACTCAGTAAATGGAATATTTCTCTGACTACTCAATTTATGTCAGTGGCACACAATGCATCGAAGATATATCTTCCATACAGGAAAAACTTATCGCGATTGAAGACTTCATTCCCTCAAATGGCGCTCCCGAATTGTCATCTATTTGAATCAAAAGCCGCCAACAGTGTCGCCAATAACCAGTCCGGGAAAATTTACCGACAGAGTTTCTCCAAAATAACTATGTAGAACTAGTGATTTCCCTTTCTTACCGACGAGCACGACCGCTTCTACATTACCGAGTTTGTTGACACTAACATCGTCAATCGTTTCATCCAAAAAATTCAAAATATCCAAGGTAATGAAAACTCTAAGCAACAAATTATCAAATTATAATTAGCACTCGTGTATTATCAACCTGACGAAGAAAAAGTTCAATAAATTTTGTCATGGAACTTAAATAACAGCGTATCACAAACGTAAACATTGTTGGTTAGGCTATCAAATTCACTTATTCAAATCAGCCCCCAAAGTAACTAATATTCAATTTTTTCATGTGCTGAAGAATTAAACAGTTCACAATGGCATCAGACAATCTAGGACGTGCCACTCCACCTAATGAGGAGACAAAGAGTGCAGGCCAGCCACTGTCAGATTTCCTAGTTCAATTGGAGGATTACACACCACCAGTAAGTCCTCTTCCCTTCTGCCGTCATTCCCAAAAATAATTCCTCATTAAAATGACCAGGAATTACATTCCCCCAGGTACCTGATGCCATAAGTGAATATTACCTGCACACAGCAGGATTCAACACAACAGATCCTCGAATGTAAGTCCCCCCAATCGAATCCCCGCATGAAAAAATTCAATGGAAAACCTAGCAAATTCACTAGAAAATGCTTTTGGAATTCTATGCATTTTCTATAGGATTTCTATATTAAAAAATTCGATTTGTTTTTTGCACTGAATCTATCGAATATTCGATAAGAAAAAGTTAATAAATTTCGAATTTCTGTTTGATTTTTTCTCTTGAGATTTTTTCTATAAAAATCATTGGGCATCAATTTCCTAAGTTTTTCCACTCGGATTCTGTAATGCAAAAAAAAAACCAGCGGAAAAAACTTGGAAAATTTGTGCCCAATAATTCTAATAGAAAAAATCTCAAGAGAAAAATTCGAACAGAAATTCGAATTCTATTGAGTTTTACTTATCGAATATCCAATAGAATTAGCGCAAAAACAAATAGAATTTTTCAATAGAATTCCAATAGAATTTTCTATCAAATTCGCTAGATTTTCTATTGATTTTTTTCAATAGAAAATCTTACGTGCAGTCCCCCTGACAAGCCCTTCGCTACACAACTGATCAAAATCGATTTACCCTTCCAGAGTTCGATTAGTCTCCCTAGCAGCTCAAAAATTCATCTCAGAAATAGCTAATGATGCTCTGCAGCACTGCAAAACCAGGGGAGCTAATCAAACTACAAAATCAAAGGGCAAAGATCGTAGGTATACGTTGACGATGGAAGATCTCACTCCAGCAGTTGCTGAGTATGGAATAATCGTCAAGAAGCCTCATTACTTCGTATAAAATCCACAACTCCTCAATCTTTGTAATTAGTGCCCAAAGCGTCGATTATAAGAATAAATTTTCGTACTTCAAAACAGCATTCACTATTTTAATACTCGAAGGGGAGGGCGAGGTGAAATGGACACGTGACTTTTTTTGAAATGTTAATGACTTATCGAATTGTTGATGAAATGAATTTTTTTTTCAATGAAAAACACAGTTCAGTAGTGAAGCGGTAAAACGATTCAAGTCGATTTTGCTCTCAGCTGAGTTTTCGAGGATTATCTCCCAATCTAAGGGAGATTGCAAAATTTTCGTAATAACATTTTTTGTAGGGCGAATTGAGGGCTACAAAAAAGGTTCTGACAAAAATTTTGCTATCTGCCTTAGATTCTGAGATATTCATTAAAAACTGACTAATAGTCCAAATCGACTTGAACCTTTTTACTGTTTCACTACTGAGTTCATACTCTTTGCGATGAGCCTAGACTGAGTTCAACTGATAAATTTGTTTCTGAGTTATGCATTTTTAAAAAAGCATGGGCAGTATCTCAAATCGAAAACAAGAACTCGAACATGGCGGATATTGTCAACGAATGAAGAAAATAAGGCGGTTTTCATGAGTACAATCGTTTTGCGTCGAATTTTCATGAAGCCCGCGCAAGAAACAAAAGAGAATTGAATACCATTCTATGAAATATGAATAAACGAACCATAGTTGTCCAAGTCATTTACGTCAAAGGAAAATAGAATAATTCTACCTTCTTAATATTTTGTTTACTTCGAACAAAGTTGATTAGAATTAATAGCTAGATCTGAGATTATCTCATATTTTTTTCGTCACTGAGGCCCGATTTTTTCAATTTTCTTTGGGAAAAATCTCTAGAGCAAAATGAGATTTTTTCTATTAAAAAAATTGAAAACAAAATCGTAATTAGTCAATAGATTCCAAATTTCTGTTTGAATTTTGCTCTTGAGTTTTTTTCTATTAGAAAAATCAAACATCATCATTCATTCTTTTTTTTTTGAGTTCATTTTGCTCAAGAGCAAAATTAAACTCTGTTTTCTATTTAAAATAATTCAGATAAAAATTTGAGATCTACTGACTTTCCCTTATCAAATATCCAATAGAATCAGCGAAAAAACAAATTGAATTTTTTAATACAATTCCCGTAGAAATTCTATTGAAATCCCTAGAATTTCTATAGAATTCCAACAGAATTTTCTAGCGAAATCGCTAGGTTTTCTATTGTATTTTTTCATACATGCCTCCCCTATATAATAAGAACAAGAATGGATTAAATTAAATTAATTCAATTCTGAAGACGGAAATGGATAAAAATAAAATAGTATAAATTAATCGCTTCGCGCCCGCTCGCTATAACTAGCTAGTTAATTCAAAAAAGGAATATTGAATCTCACAAGAAAAAGGGTACAACGAAAGGGCATCAACCAAAGGATTGCGCTCATTAAAAAAAATGAAAAGTATCCATTTTACCCCACCCTCCCCAAAATAAACCCAATTCAATTCTATAAACAATGATTTCAAACTTTTGTCTTATTTACCACATCACATTGAAGTATTTCACGTCTTACCTAGGGGTTGGAGTGAGAAGTGGACAGTGTGGCGCCACTCTTCATATTAAAATCTCGTGTCACTTCTTGGAAACTCAGGTACAAGGGGGAGCCCGCATGCGCCTTTATCTGTTAAAAAAAATCTCATCGGCCATATTGGTGTGTTGTATTGTTCACTCAGTAATTTCCGAGTTAAATAAGGTATTTAGCCACTTAAAAATTTCACATCAATCAATTTAATACAACACGTCATTGTTAAAATATCACAACTCATTGATAAACAACGATTGATACCTCAGACATTCGTGGAACTATTGGTAAACGGTAATGAAAAATGTTTGGTTATTATTGCCACCTCTGCTCATGGGCCACAATTCAGGCCTTCGTTGAAAAAAATCATGTCGCACTCGAGTAAACCCCTCGTTTATTCTCTCATCCCTTGTATATCGTACTCATTTTACTGCCATTGAATTGATCATTGAGTATCGCTGCATCGTGTTTCAACGGTAAAAATAATAATCCTTGACCACGAATTTGTAATTTCATCTACCGTCTGTTGCGTTCACATCGCATTCCTTTATCTAATAGCGTTCTCACATGTACTCGACTGTTACATTTGCAAAGGACTAATTGTTGCTGGCACTGTTGGGAATGTTAACGAATATTGTGTCAACTGTTCCGGGTTTACCAGACCTGGTCATTCTGGAGGGGGGGAACAATGTTCAGAGAGTGCACATTCTGTGGGAAAATTCTGTTCGGTTGAGTTCAATTATTGGCAAACGGCGTTTACTCGAGGTGGTTTCATCGGGCAATTGTGTCACGTTGGTTTATTCCCACGTAAACAAATGGCATTATGTTTATTCTTTCGTTCGTTCGTTAGGTTGCAACTTGGTAATTGATTTTTTTTCTTTTTTGTGCTGATGAAGAGAGTGCAGCATGACGGATTCCATGAAGTTTGGTCCAGAATGGTTAGTAATGAATTTAAGTCATGGAGGTATTGTAATCTGGGGTGAATGAACTTTTCTCGAGATTAATTGATTTGAGGATGTATGGAAGTGACATGAGGTGGGGAAATTGGGGAGAATTTCCGGAGACATTGCCATGTGGAAATGGTGGAGATGTCATACTTTAGTTTTTCATTCATCTAGGAAATTTCAAATGGGTTAAGAAAACAGTTTACGAGATGGTTCAACTGTAGCTGTTGAAATTCAACATTTGATTTTGATGAAGAAAATTAGAGGTATTTCAATTATTCCAATTGGTCAACGAGATAATTCAAATGTAATTATTGAAATTCAGAAAAGGTTTTGAGAATATTAATTCGGAACATTTTGGAAAACTTTTCTAATTTATTGAGTGGATATTTACATTGACAATTGAAAATAGTTCGTGATGATGGAAGAGATTTTAATGCTTTGCGAGTCATGATTTAACATTTTAATCCACATTGGCATGCAGAACGTCAAGACATCCTTCACTTTGAATTTTTAAGGGGAATTTCAATGTTAATACGTCTGGAATTTTCACTCATTTGGAATAGCTTGAATTAATGAAACTGACATTTGAAAAAATTTCGAAATCTGATCCTAATGGAATTCTATTCTAATAACTTTATTCTTTTATATTTAAATCATTGAGAGACATATCAAAAATAAAAAAGCAGAAACTATTTTTGAGAGGAATTCATAAAACAATTGAAAAATCCTAATTCTTGATGATCACAACCATTTCTCGTAAATCGTTAATTAACAATTAATTTTTCGCCATAAGAATAATTTTTTTCTAGACGATAAATGCGAGCATATTCAAAATTCCATCTCATGCCAAAAAAAAAGTTTCCAAAAGTTCAAGCAATTAATATAATTCATTGATCGGAAGAGAATTGTTTCAAAACAAATTATTTCTCACAAATGAATTCAGTAGTGAAACGGTAAAACGGTTTTAATCAATTTAAGTCTCAGCTGAGTTTTTTAGGAATATCTCCGAATTTAAAGGAGATAATGAAATTTTCGTAATGATCTTTTTTGCAGAGCGAAATGAGGGCTACAACAGAAAAAAAAATTTCTAATATCTAATTTCTAATATCTAAAACATATTTTCTTGAGACAAGTAATTTTTCTTCAATCGCTCAATTCTATCAGACATCTCAACTCATGTGGCCCGAGAAAGGTCTCATGCTTTAAAATATTCTTATACTCAAGTATGATTTTGTCGCAAATGAACTCACTCAAATCGCGTAGAAGAATTACCAATCGTCAAGTATTTATTGTTTTCATAATTTTTTTGTTATGCAATTCCACTATTTCGATATTTAATATATTCATGATATAATGCGCACCGATGGTGATAAATAATAATTCATTTGAGTTCCATGAACCACAAACATTCTGAGATTTAAACCATTGAAAATAATTTACTTCTCTCAAGTAAATATGGTCTACGTATTAGGAAATTTTTCTCTCAGTGTGGAAAATTTCAAAATCTGTACTGCAGTCTGTACGAAACAATAAATGACACTCAATCTCCTCCACGTCCATACATCTTTAATTGGCGGAATGCGTTATCCCTAAAGTCCTGTGAATGAATTTTCGGTTAATATAGAGTTGTTTCATTCATTTGTGATAAATTCCAAAAATTTATTTATCGACGAAAGGTTGATTCTCCCCCGTCTTACCCCTTTAAAAATATTACCCATGTAAACAATACTGGATTTTTTTAGGTTGCGCAATCTGTCTGGAGACAGTTGTAATTCCGGTGGCGGTGGTGGTGGTACAGCCAACCTGATCACCCCCCGGTATCAGTTGGCAGAGCATAGATACGGTCGTGAGGAGATGCTAGCTCTATTCGATCGTAATTGCAAGCCCCCCGAGGCACTGTCAACCCTGCAGACCCTCTACGTGGAGAAAACCCAGCTACCCCTGGCGTTCATACCAATGACAGAGGATGAAACGGTAATTATCGTTCCTCTCTCTTATCCAACGAAAATCGTAGAATCATGTGCTCTGACAAATTCACACATGTGATGCTATTTGTTAGTCAATCACAGGCTTTGCCAGCAACTTAAAATGATTGTGTTGTATCTTATATTGGGATGTGTGTCATACATGGCTTGTGATCTAAAAATAATTTTACTCTGGAACCCTAGTGCCAGCACCTGGCTGTCTTCTAGAAATACTGAATAATTTTCATTTTATAGTTCACTGTCAATTATCCCTCGAAGTAACTTGCGATCGTAAGTACAGCCAGATTTACTCACAGCCTCTGCTATGAAATTGGTTATGGAAAAATTGAATCTTTTTTAATACTAACAGAGAGAATTAGCAGATTAATGCGACTCCTCGAGTTCAGTTGAATCTAGCAGAACTAGAATTAACTTATCATATAATCAGCATTGCATTTTTATTGCCAGGTCTTTAATGCACATCTTTCATTTTTTTAAATGTTGATAATAATTTTTTTTCTATGAAAATTAGAATTCTTTCCCTTTGTGATAAGCCTAGGGTCAGGTCAGTTGATCATTCTGAAAGGACCATTCTGCCTCGCCCACTATTTAAATTACTACTGAAATTTTTACTTTATGCATTTTGCGGAAAATTCCATGATCTACGTCCAATAGAAAAGCATATTTTTGATTCGGGCAACATTCTTCTGTTGGAGAACAAATCCCTCAATGTAACGAACAAGTGGATAATTGCATTTTAAAAATAAATGAGTACAGTTGTTGTTCCTAATAAATTAGTAATTTGATTTCGAATGGGTTCTCTTTTTTTAAATTCTTATTTCACTATTCTGTTCTTCTATTTTATCATATCATAGTGCTGTCATCACTTGAAATGTCATCAAAAGTTTGCGTATTATTTCGTTCTACCAAATAATTCTACAAACCCTCTTAAGACTCGAATTCATTTTCAGTCTGGGTTTAATTAAGGATCAATTAAGGTGTTATCAGTGTATAGCCGCGATTTAATCAGGGTTTATTCAGAATTTAGTCAGCGTTCAACCCAGGCTCTGTCAGAAGTTAGTCGGAACCATGAATCAATATTAATAAGTATTCAACATAATAGACTGGTACCTGCGTTTAATAGAGATAGAGATTTTGCTATAAAAAGCTCATGACGACATTGTGTAACTTGAAAAGCAATGATGCCGTTCTCACCATTTTCCAATTTTAAAAAGGCATGGAAATATACTTTTTAAATCCTGATTTGATCGCTATTACTGGTAATTCTTTCAGTAATCATGAAAAAAACCATTTTCTGTTTCAACTTACACAAACAATGTGCTCTAACTCAACAACGAATTTTGCGACCCCCATCATATTCTGATAGAATCAAATGGGTATTGTTATCAATTTTGTGAACCATTACTAATTCCATTTTGATGACAGTTTTCTTGAGTCATTTTTGGAAAATCAATTTTTGGAAAAATATAAATTTTTTCCAATCTGTATGAAAAATGGAATTTCAATTGGTATCAATGAATAGATCTTATTAGAGTCTGTATTCATGAAAAAATTTATGAAATTCGATTGATCCCTTTTAAGAACATTTCGAAAAAAATGAAGAAAAAACCCCTCACATATATACATTGAGAAAAACATTATTTTTGCCAAATATTCACTTACTTGAGAGAAGTGTTTATTTTTTCAATTTTGCATTTCTCCAGTCGAATGATTTTCAGGCAATGATCTTGAGTGAACTCCCCCAATAAGTATCAGCATTAAAAAATTGATCGAAATTCTTCCCTCTAGAAAATCATAAATTTATGAAAAATAAATAATCATTAGAGGAGTTCATCCAAGGTCATGTGCAACATAGTCATCCTCTAGAGCAAGTGAGAATGTTATAATTGAAAACCAGTCAGACTCGTCCAGGAATGACTCGATTGACGAAACACGATTTTGAAAAAATAAATACTTCCCTTAAGGGGAAACGGAACCCCTGCGTTTATATGAATCTTTAGAGTTGTGCTCATTAAACTACTTCATTGACTCAACAATGCGATAATCGAGTCGATAAAGTAATTTCATAGATAGAAATTGATAGTTGTAGGAGAAAACACAATTCTAAGATTTGGTGTAGACAAAGAGGTTCCGTCTCCCTTTAAGTAAATGAATATTTGGCAAAAATAATTTGTTTTCTCAGTGTATAGACCCAATATAAAAACCGTATATTCGGACTTCTTAAACCTCATTCAATCCCCTCAACACAAAAAAACTGGAATGTGAAAACTTAAATTTGAGCGAATTTACAAAGCTTCTATTGAGAAGCAAAAAGTCGTTGCAACGACATGAAAATTTCCAACTGATTGTTGCAGCGAGTTTGGAGCGGTGGTGTGAGTAACACGAGTGGTCGTGGTAGAGGTGGCAGTGTCGATCGTGGAGGACGTGGAAGAACAGGCCGAGGAGGGATGTACTCCTTCAGTCGTGGTCCTGTCGGCTTCGACGACTCTGGTGACGGCAGTAGACTCGATTCACAGCCCTACCCAGGTAGAAGGGTGTACGATAGATCACAGAGTGAGCGAGGATGGTCCGAGAGAAACGGCGCCTCTGACACTGGCGAGTGGAATGGTTCAACGAGCCCCAGAAAGGAGATGAGTCGAGGTGCCGGTGGTAGCTCACTTATGGAGAGCAATTGGAGACGACATCGAGTGACTGGGGACGAGGAGGAGGGCTGGAGAGTGGCCTCCAACAATCGTAACGAAAAATGGACAAGGGGTAACTGGAGGGATGGTGGTGGTGAACGAGAGAGAATGGATCGTGGTGAGAACGACGGTGATGAGGGTAGAGGTGGTGGACGTTGGGAGACTCGAACAAGTCACAGATTATCCCACGATTCTCATCATCATCCACCGAGGACTGCTCGCACTTGGGAGTCCAATCATCACGATAATCACGATAATCTGCCCGAATGGGCCACTGAGAATCCCAGTGAGAGTGGTGGAAGTTTCGATGCATCTGGAGCTTTTCACGGGGGAATATTCTCTGATGAGGACGAGGAAGGTATCACTGGAGAGGGCAGACACCGACGTATCTCCGAGGGTAACAATAATACAAGCACTAAATCTGGTAATAAGTTGAGCTCCTACGGGCACAATGTCATTCGTCACAGTAACTCGACGAGTACTGCTACGAGAGAGAGACCAAAGTCTCTTCATCCATTCGACGACAAGGAGACACCGATAAATCAAGAACGAAGGAGTGCTTCTCCGACAAAATCAGCGACCAATCCCAGTGCTCTGAGTGCAAATCCAGTTTTACCAGACTCTGGGAGAAAGGTCCAGACGTCAGCAAGCTCAGCAAACTTGGTGAAAACTGAGACTAATAAAGTGCAGGGACCTCAACGCTCAAAATCCTTCATCGAACGTTCATCAAAGCCCCCCCAGAACGACTCAAGACCTGAGGAACCCCCTGCAATGGCCACGAATAAATCCAAACCACCAAGCATCCCCCCAGCTGATCGTAATGCTGCTCCACTACTGCCTCCCCCAAAGCCTGACGACGATCTCGACAGAATGAACGCTGAAGCGGACATGTTAGTAGCTAAACTAACAGCTGACGAAGAGAGCCACAGAGAGGACATCTCATCAATTCCCCCAGTGACGAATCACCAGCCATTGACACCTGGAGCGCAAGAGAAATGGTTCTACCGAGATCCTCAGGGTGAGGTCCAGGGCCCCTTCCTGGCAAATGAAATGGCTGAATGGTGCAGAGCTGGCTACTTCACCTCAGGTTTACTAGTGAGACGACCGTGTGACGAGAGATATGCAACCCTCGGTGATCTCATCACAATGTGTGGCAGAGTACCTTTTGTCCCTGGCCATCCAATTCCTCCCCTCAAACGAGTTGACCAGCAAAGGATTCCTCCACCAATTACCAACCCAGTGCCAACTGGACTACCTGGCAGTGCCTTACCCAAACCTGCAATTGATGATCCACTGTTCATCTATCAACAGATGCGATTTATCCAGAATCACCACGTGCTGAGACAAATGAAGAGTTCAGCATTTACAAAGCTCTCGCAGTCCGAGCACTTTGGTACACTCAGTGCTGTCGAGCAGAATCAATTAATAATGCAGTGTGTTATGCAGGATCCTGAGATACGTGAATTGTCGATTAATCAGAATCCATTTGCCAATCCCCTTGGGCCAACATCGTCACATCCTGTTATGCAATTTTTTAATCAAATGCAACAGGTAAAAACACAGAGCGAGAATCACTTGCCACCAACGGGCTCAGATCATCCTATCGATGAAATTCAGCAGTTGATCCAGAAGATTGGCACTGGACAGAATTTACCACCACCCCAATCTACCATCAATGCACCACCAGCTCAGCCCCCACAGGAGGATAATCCGATAAAATCACTGCTTAGGCAGCTTCAGGTCAATGCCAATGGACACCCCCAGGCACATCCTATAGACTCGATCTGGCCCCAGCCACCCCCACAGATCAATCCACAATTTAATGTCCAGAATTGGCTGGCACAGGTGGGACAACTGCCCCCAATGCCACCAGGACAAATGCCGAATTCTCAGTGGGATTTACACGCTAAGGAAATGAAGACTGAGCAACAGATACTAGAGGAGCAGAATATTAAATTACAAGAGGACAGGAAGAAGGAGGAATTGAGGAGGCAGGAGGAGATTCTGAGACAAGTGGAGGACGAAACAGTGAAGAGAAAGATGGAGGCTGAGGTCCACGCGAGACAGTTGGAAGAGGCCAAGCGAAAGGACGAGGAGAAGAGGCGCAGGGAAGAGGAGAAAAAGCGAAAAGAGGACGAGAAACGTAAGCAGGAGGAGGAGCTGAAGAAGAGAGAGGAGAAAAAGCGTAAAGAGGAGGAACGAAAGCGCGAGGAGAAGCGTAAACTCGATGAGGAGAACAACCGAAAGAAGCAGGAGGAGGAGAAGAAGAAGCGAGAGGAGGCCAAACGACAGGAGGAGAAAGTGAAGAAGGAGGAGGACAGACGAAGAAAGCTTGAGGAGGAGCAACTGAGGAGACAGGAGGAGGAGCGTTTGAAGAGGGAAGAGGAGGCACGCAAGAAGATGGAGTCGGAGGAGGTGGCGAGGAGGGCAGAGCAGAGGCGTCGTGAGGTGGAAGCCCTGAAGAAGCTCCAGGAACGCAGTAAAGCTCCTTGGGCTCAGGCACAGCACGCCCCACCAGTGGCAACTCATGCGTCACTGGCTGAGATTCAGAGACTGGAGCGTGAGAAGAAGGCTGAGGATTTGCGTATTCAGCAGCAGATTCAGCATCAGCTTGCTCAGCAGAAGGCGGTGGAGGCGGCCAAGGAGGCAGCTGTTGTTGACTCGTCGAAACGCCTTCAGTTCAAGTGGGCGGAGAAGGCTGCACCAAGTACGAAGCAGCCGCAGGTGAAGAGTCTTGCTCAGATACAGCAGGAGGAGCAGGAGCGCATTGCCAAGGTTAAACAGCAGGAGAAGGAGCGCCAGGAGAAGGCTAGCCAGAAGGAGGCAGCTGTTGTCATGCAGAATGCTGGTATCTGGGGGACAGCATCGCAGTCTCTCAACTGGGCGCCATCCACCAACTCGGGGATTGATCACAAGGGGGGAAAAAATTGGACAGGCAGTGGATTCTGGGATGAACCCGTCTCCAACAAGCCTGCACCTGTTGTCAAATCACAATCTGCGACTAAAGTCACTCAACAATCCGCCACCAAGACGAATGTCAGTGCACCTCAGCAACAGCAGAACAATAACAAAGTGGCTAAGGGTAAGGTCAAGAAGGAGGAGGAACTTGTTAAGAAGCTTTTTGATAATAACACTGCCAAGACGGATGACTTTCAACAGTGGTGCTACAGGGCACTCTGCGGACTGCAACCGTCAGTTGATATCCCAACGTTTATTGGTTTTCTGAAGGATATCGAGTCGGCTTATGAGGTTAAGGAGTATGTCAGGATGTACCTGGGGGATAGCAAACAGACTACTGAATTTACGAAACAGTTTTTGGAGAAGAGGAGTAAACTGCGCTCCGCACAGAGGCCCAGGGCTGAGGCTGATGATCTTTGTAAACCTGCACCTGCTGTCAATCCTAATGCTCCTATGGAGTTTCAGGAAGTTAAGGTATTTGTTTGGGGGGTGAGGGGAGTTTTTAGGGAGAAAAAATTATTGGGTAAAATTGGAAAGAGAAGAAGTGAATTCTTTTGTTATTCCTTTTTGTGTTTATTAAGGTATATCCCTAGAAAACGTTTTTCTTAAGATTGTTTCCATGTTTTTTATAGATAATGTTTATAATAGCTATTGAAAAAAATTCTAACTAGCTGTAGTACACATTTTAGAAGATGATAAATAATGAAATGTGCGTGTCAAACACACGAAGGATAGGCCAAATGTGGGTTGGGCCTTCGGAAGTAAATTTTTCCATCTTATGCACTGATAGAAAAAATTATTTTTATTGAGATTTTCCGCTCTTGGAACAAGTATTATATACTTGAGTCAATTTCAAATAAATAAGATCTTACGGTAAATATCAATTATTTCTTTTTGAGGTAGTTCGATTTCTCTCAATCAAATATATCTCAAGAAGAGATTACTGATATTCACTATAAAATCATGTTTATTTGAAAATTAACAAGCAAATGATAGTTGTTTCATTGAAATTCTCTTGATTAAATTAATTTTTTCTGTCAATGTGAGAAAACGGTTCTTTTATGTTTTTAAAAAACTAATGCATGATAGATTGATAAATTCCGAATACGGTGAATTTTTTGTAAAATTTTGTATTACATAGTTTGCGATATTCAACTCTAAAAAATGGAAATTTTGTGAAAGAATTTTTTATTTGATTCAAACAATTATTTAACAAATCATTAGCGAAGTGGTATGTCGGTACAAGTCAATTTTGACTATTGACCAGTTTTCAATGAATATCTCGGCATCTAAGAGAGATAGCTAAATTTTTGTTATAACCTTTTTTGTACAGCCGGTTGAAAGCTACAACAAATGTAATTACGAATATTTCCCTTAGATTCGGAAATATTCCTCAAAAACTCAATTGGGAGATAAGTCGACTCAAACCGTTTTACCACCACTAACTTATGAGAATGCAATAAACTAAGAGTGCTATTGTCTTGAGATATACCTTAAAACTCAATAGAAACGTAGATTGTTTATTATTTTCCCCGAATAAGGGATGACCAACTTTGGTCATGTAACTTGTATTAATTTTTTTCATGAAAAAAAAATATTGATGGATTTTCCTTCATTGGTTTTTCATTTAAAATTTGTTTTTCAGGGAAAGGCGAAGAAACCAAAAAAAGGAAAGATGTGTAAAGTTGATAGCAGAATTCTGGGCTTCAGTGTAACTGCGGCAACTGACCGCATCAATGTTGGAGATCGTGATTACGGTGAAGGTGTTTGAACGTTCAGCCAAATCTCATTAAAAAATCGAACGTAAAAACCAACAAACTGTTTTACTGTTAGCAAGAAAATCGTTTGACGACAAATGGGGTGATCGACTTATCAGATTGGTTCGTTATTTATTTATATTTTTTTAAGTTGAAAAAATGATGATCCATAAATATTGGACGAACAATTCTACGCTGATACGATGGAAGAAGTCAGTTTGATTCTACAGAATGTTAAGTTGAAATAATGCAGGACTATGAAAACACTTGTATATACGAAAGATGTGAATATTAAAGAAATGATGAAACATTGAAATGATTCAACTGCATGAATACTTAGCAATTGCGTATTAATTAAACTATTGTTTTTTTTCTAAAAAAAATCTCTCCTATCATTCAAGTGAAGCAGTGGCTACCAGAATATACATCGACGTGATGTCGAGAAATATCAGATTCTGTAAATGTGTCAGCAATAGAAATACTAAACTCCGCTGATATCCAATTATTGAAAACGATAATTTGATAAATACAAGACAACAAGAAGTAAAAACAAAGTTATTGAAAATTATTTTTGTTTCAAGTTATTTGAGGACCTTGACTCCTGCGAATGCATGTCTTTTCAACTAGAAGACATTTCAACTTATTGAGACAATGATTTGAGTTGAGCCGAGTTCATTTATTGAAATCGAAAATTCGTAAAGAATTTAATCGAATTATTGTAAATTGAAGATTTATTGAATTGATATCATTAAGCTATTGATTGCAAAAATAGTTGCATTCCTTCTGTTGTATTATTTGTGGAGATGTGCGTTGAGACAATGAGTTGAAATCATCAATTGAATTGCAACATTTATCTCAAGTTCAGACGAATTATTGGAAATTTGTAACTAAAATGTCGTCTAGTTGAAAAAACGTATCACCGACTTGTACTAACCGATGATAGGAATCATGCATGTGAGGTTTTACTCAGGAAGAAAGGCATTTTCTTCATAACAATTGCCCTTTGGGATTTTTTTTTACTATTTATCATCCCAATCCAATTTTTAGGATCATCAACATTTGATGGTCTCACGGAAGACTTTTGTTGCTCACTTTTTTACTAAAAGACGATTTTCCCATTCCCCATGGCATGACTGAGTGGGGAGAACCTCGAGAAAATGAACGTCTTTGATTATCTAGCTTTAGTGGAGAAGAAATCTTTCATAAAAATTCAGTATTGGATTAATTGCGATAATTGTGCTCAAGTATTTAGAACAATTGAACTCCTCGTGACTTAAAAAGTGAGTAAGTAAAATCTTAGCTATCATGAAATCCCTCAAGATTTTCCTAAATTTGATTTTTAACAACAGCTGTGGATGTTTGCGAAGAAAACACGTTTCTTTGAAAGAAATTGTAGAATTGTTTGAATTGTTGGGAAGAACCGATATCGGTTCTCGATTGAAAGGTTTATGAATCATGAGATGTGAATTGTACAATAAAACCACGAAACGTGCAGACGAAATGATTCACTTTTTATTAATTCCACTACTGTAATCAATCCTCATTATGGCTAATAAATAAACATATTTTCTGATTCTTATTACTTTCATTTCTAAATTTCATCTATTGGTCTATCTAGCACTGATTAAAATGGGAAAGTATTCTTCAAGTATTTATCATTTCATGTGCACTTTTATTTCGCTTATAGTTGACGCAGGGAATGGAAATAACAGTTGATGAATTGATTGTTTAATTGTAAATACAGTTTTATTATTCTCTGAGGCACATGCAATTTTCGTTTTTCCTCGTAGACCACATGGGTAGAGGGCAATGAATCCGCAATATTAAACTCTTATTATTATTACTTTGTGACCTTAGCAAACCAATCAAAGAATAATTAATTATGCTTCCCCCTGTAAAAAATCCTAAAAAAATGTCTCCATTTCGAAGTAACACATAATAGTGAAGACTTTTTATGTACTTGAAACAGAAGAGAAAAGTTATTATGCAGAAAAGTTGATCAATCATGGACTTGAATGGAGAGACCTTCACCTCTGAAATTGTACTCTTCGGCGATAAACATTTATTCTTCTTTTGTACTTGATTCATCGGAAAGTAATTCAACAATATTACCATTAATATTCAATAGACATAATTTTTTTTTATGCAAACATCAATATCAAAGCACATTCTCTGGTTATTTTACGTTATTTTTCATTGTGAAAATTATTTCTGTAAATAAAATACACCAGTATTAATACTCTTTGGCAAAGATTTGCGATGAGGTGATGTCAATTAAGGACAGGATCCGCGTGAAAAAAATTCTGCGAGAGATCTCTTTGGAATTCAACTAAAATTGACGTGTTCTCTTTCAGTTTTTTACGAAAAAAATTTTAATAGAAAATAATTTGATGAAAAGTTTATAAATTTTGAAATTATTATGCAACTGATTTTGTCGGAATTATTTATACAAAAATTCGTAAGCATTAATTTCTTTAATATATGATCGAAATTAGAAAATTGTTGTGAAAAAAAATTGATGGAAATTTGTGGAATTTTGGAAACTCATATTCCCTATTGAATATTTCGGAATCGACAAAAAGCTAATAATATTTTCAATAAAATTCTCTCCTAGATTTTCCCAGACGTCGAAAAAATAAATATTTTAATTGCTAAACTAAATGCTGACTCCTTTTACTCAGGTAACGAAGACAATACGGAAAATCTATGCTTATTCGACTGAAGAATGCCCATTCCCTGGACCGCTAGTATTGTCTCGTTGCTCGGTTTTTATTACTGATATAATATTTGAAGACATAACAATGTTTTATGTACAAAAACATGAAAATTTCGCTAGAATTTTCCTCGTCTCACATTCAAATAATATAATTGCTATCTAAGGTTGGCTGATTCGTGATTAGTTTTTAATCTCCTATCTGTTGGCTTGAAATGGCATGATTGATAAGCAAGTTTACGAAATATGCTTGACGCCTGTGGTACAGTGATTACTTTCATTCGGCAGCCCTGCGTAGAAAACGCTTCTCAAAATTGTACTATTTTCTTCTCTTCGGTTCTTCTTCCTCTGGTTGTACGTGGAAATTTGAATGATTGTAGTCTTTGGCAATATCAATATACTGAAAAGATGAATTATTTGGATCAGTTTTTTCTGTTCATTCCGGTGGGGAATCAGTTAGATAGGCGAATAATTTTCGAAACATATTTTTGATTCTAAGAGAGATGAAGATATTTTTGCAGAAAAATTATACGGGAACATCATTTTTCAACATGATTAAGAAGGCATTGAAATATACTTTTCAAGCCCTGATTTAATTGATATTATGAATGATTTTTTCAGTAATCATCAATCCGACTTTCTCGTTTAAATCGCATAAACAATGTGCTGTAACTCAACAACGAATTGTGCGACCCCCATCATATTCTGATAGAATCAAGAGGGTATTATCATGTTTTTGGCCCATGACTAATTCCATTTTGTTGACAATTTTTTGAGTGATCCTTGAAAAATCGAAAAATATAAATTTTTTGTAATCTTTCCGAAAAATTGAATTTTAATTGGTGTCAATATATGGAGATTATTAAAGTCTATATTCTTGAAGAAAATCATGAAATTCTCTAAATCCCTTATAAGAAAGTTTCGAAAAAAAAAGAATTTAAAGAAATACATAACATACAGACACCATCTGAAAAATCCATATTCAGACTTTTTTTTTCACATTCCATATTACTCCATATTTCTATTTATATTTATTCTATATTTCGTTACTCTAACGCAAAATATTAGAAACTTAAATTTGAGCCATAACAAAATTTCCATTCGAAAGCAATAAAAATGTGTCGAGTGCTCGCGATTTTAAATAAACATCTTTATAGAGCTTATTCAAGTTTATATTCATGAAAAAATTCCGGAAATTCGATAGATCCCTTATAAGTAAATTTAAAAAAAACACATACATACAGACGCCATCTGAAAATCGCATATTTAGACTTTTTAGACCGTATTTAGTTACCCTAACGCAAAAAATGAGAAACTTGAATTAGAACCATAATAAAATTTCCGTTCGAAAGCATTAAAAATGTTTCGAGTGCTTGCGATTTCAAATAAACATCTTTAATTGGGAAAATTGGGCTGCAATTATGGGAGTTGATTACCTTTCTAGGCACGAAGAACTCCAGAAACTGCAGCACAATGTAACAGAGAGATACGACAAGTAAGTACGGGAGTACTCCACTGGACAAGTAACTGGCTAATTGGTGGCCCAGTGTCTTCTGGTCCTCCCTTTGGACAGCATCGTAGACAATTTCAGTCCTCCTCGTGACATCGTACCAGTTGTAAAACGAGACGATTTTCTCGTGCACCTCAAATGGACAGATGATGTTTCCCCTCTTATAGTCGGCAATGGCTCTCTCTAATCCTTCCAGAAGTGCATCGACAGTGGGTTCAACTAGGTAAATCAATTCTGGTGGCAAGACTTCGGGGATACCTCCTACTTTGGTAGAAACAACCTGCAGTCTTCAACAAAAGTCATGAATCAGTAGTACTTCAAAACAAATTCAAAGAAACGTAATTTTGATTCAGCAGTGAACTGATGGAATGAGCTGAATGAATTTAAGATGGAAATAATTTTTTGATGAATATTTTTGCATTTAAGGACCGGGTGTACTATCTTTCGAATGTTATCTGGATTTTTTTAATCTTTCGTAACCCGAAATTGTCCATTGAGTGGTACATCATGCAGAAAGTCCCAAAAATTATGACAGAAGGATAAAAAAAATAGAAAAAATTCTGAATTTTTTCAAAGAGCGTTTTTCATTGAGATTCAGAATGAGTTGAAAAAAGTGGAAATTACAAATATCTGATTCGTTGTGGCAAATGATCTATTAGCTGTCATTTTCCATGGTGGATAATAAAACACTAACTCCTCATGGGAAGTGACAGCTAGGCATCTCAATTTTCAAAACAGTGGTATGTAGTCATCTGCCATTTTTATGTGATAAAAGTGTGATGAAAAAATTCTCCAAAATATTACATCTTGTATCAAAGAGCCTTTTCTGTAATAAATGTCCCTATGCAGTGTGGGAAAAGATTTATGAAATCAATCTTCCCCCTGCGTGATATTGGGTGACAGGCCGCTATGTGTCACCAGAAATCAGATACATTTTTCAATTTCTTGTCATTCAACTTATTCTGAATATAAATTAAAAGTGCTCTTTGAAAAAATTAAGACGTTTTTCTACTTTTTTTCGATTATTCATTCATAATTTTTCAAAACTTCTGCATGATGCAGGACTTAATTGACAATTTCAGATGACGAAAGATGAAAAAGAACATCGAGATATCGTTCAAAAGATATTATACCCGGGCCTTAAGGAAGAAACGGAAGTTTCACAAAGTTTATTTTGTGGAGCGAAATGCGAACTATAAGCGAAAGATTCGGAAGTTTTTTTTTGAACTGCGGGAGATACTTTTTAATGAAATTGTACACAATCACGAACATTTTCTTTATATCAATAAATCACGCAAATTGGTGAGACCTCCACTTATGAGAGAATTCTAATGATAAATAGATTTAGTATAAATAAATTTGACTTTAGTCAATTGTAATTTTGAAGTCACATTCAATAAGTGGACAATGGCATTTCTTTTATAAATGAGTATAGTAATTGTTGCCAATAAATTAGCAATTTGCTTTCAAATGGGTTTTCTTTTTTGAAATTCTTATTTCGCTACTCTCTTCTTCTATTTTTGCACGTCATAATACTATCAACAATTGAAATGACATCAAAATTCTGCGTATTATTTCGTTTTGGTAATAATTCAGTAGCGGAGTGGTAAAATGGTACAAGTCAATTTTGACTATTGACCAGTTTTCGCTGAATATCTCGGAATCTAAGGGAGATAGCGAAATTTTTATTACAGCCTTTTTTCTAGAGCCGATTGAGAGCTACAACAAATGTAATTACGAAAATTTCGCTATCTCCCTTAGATTCGGAAATATTAGTCAAAAACTCAAGTGGGAGTCGACTTAAACCGTTTTATCACTTCACTACTGAATTCTATATTCAGACCCTCTCAAGACTCGAATTCGTTTTCGGTCCGGGTTTAATCAAGGTTTAATCAGTGTATAGTCGAGGTTTAATCCGGATTTACCGTTGAACAGACACTTGGCTATTGACCAGTGTCGTTAACCCATCAGCACTCGCGCTATATGACTTTCTTTTGCCAAAATTTTCGACATTGATTCGTTCCACGCATATTGCAGGATACTTTCTATATCTCTAGTCGTAGATTTCACGTTCCAACGTAATTCGTGACTCGACAATTTCCGTCAAGTCAAGTTGAATTACGAGATAAACTAAATAATGATGCATGTGCAAAATGCATTGAGATACATTAGAACTTGACAATAAACCCATGAAAGCTGTTGAATAGCTTCTATCGACGAGGGGTGGCGAACGACTCACGAGAGTCCATATGTGACGGGGGAAACTACATATTTTGGATGCTTCCGACGAGTGACAAATTGTTTTAAATGATAACTGGATTTAGATAGTAGACTCAAGCTGACATGCGTACGTATGAAATGCGTTGACATACCTTAGAATTCGACAATGAACCCGTGGGTTGTCGTTGAATAACTCCCGCCCACGAAGGGCGATAAATAATTTGTTCCCATGAGCGGTGATGAATGATAATATTTCAAAGGTTTTGATGAGTGACAAATTGTTATGGATAATCACGGGATTTCGGACAAGAATTTCGACACTTTCTATCAGATTATGAATGATGGATTTACTTTCTCGAAAAATAAGCGATGACCTCCATGTACTGAGGGTGGAAATGTCAATTTTTGGACTGCGAGAAAAATTTTGCATACGTGACTCTACAGTGTAGAGTCTACACTGATTGTTAGTACATCAAAACTTTATTAACCCCTCGCGTACGGGGCCTTTCTGTTACGAAGCCTGACGTGCGCTGAATATCACTGAGATTCGATAAATTGTGATGCATGAAAAATCATGAAAAGCATTAAAACTTGAAGCTACACTATTCAGCTTTCGAATGGCGTTGGCGGAATTGGATTATCTGTCACAGTTTTGGCATTATACAGTTTTGAACAGAATCATGCGTTTTGAATTCATTTGAAGCATGATACACAAAGATATTCCCGAAATTCTGATTTTCAAAAAATACAAAATTTTTGAAAATTTTCAGATAAATCAAAATAACGATCATTGCTGACGAAATGATAGCCAAATTTTTTAAGCCATCATTCAATCAATTCAGAATTGTTTCTTTTTACTTATCGTGGGGCAACCAATTTTCGAAAAAAATCGAAAATGATAAAAACTAATCGCTGAATTAAATTTTAATTAATGGGGATTGATAGGGCTCAACAATACCTACATTTGAAAAAAAAAAAAGATTCAATTCCATCCATTCATTAGCGAACAATTGGAGCAAAACTTTGTTACATACGTACACACACCCACACGTATGGACGAGATTTAAAAATTGCATTTTCGGACTTTTTAGATCATACTGGGTCGATATAACATAAAAAATCCAAAACTTAAATAAGAACGATTACAAAACTTCCATTCGGACGCAATACGAACGGTAAAAAATATTTAAAACTTTGCCCCTTCCTTCCAGCCATCCGAATTAGTCAATGCCCCGAAAATGCAAATAATGTGCATGTAAAAAACATTGAACTACGCCCACAAAGATCTCTGCTTGGATTTCCGGAACAAATAGACCAAGGAAAATTTTAAAAATGGGTGGATTTTAGCATGTTTTGCGTGTGTGGGATATTTTTTCCTGGTCGAATTTTTCCGCCCACCCTCTGCTTGACATCAACACTCAAAATTCAATTCGTAAAACAGTCTCCCCCTCTTCTCAGCTTTGGCCCAAGAATTGTGAATTTTTTAAACTGCAAAAGTGAATAATATGAAGGCCTAGTTTTCTCCAACTGAAATGATAGAAAGTAAAAATCATATAAGAATTTCACTATAACAGAATTAAGGCAGCAATTGATCGCATACCATTCTTGTCGTTTCATTTATCCTTTGAAAGAGCTACCAGATTCAGTTTAACCTTTAAGCACGACTTTATTTTTTCAGCCTGCAGGTATGAATAATGCGAAGAACTATATTTATCCACCTGAAGTAATGGAAGCAACAATCATTAATTAATTCCTACCTAGTCAAATTGAGACAATAATTAATTGCATACCATTCTCGTCGGATTATTTTCCTTTTAAAAATGCCGCGTAGATCGAGTTTGATCTTTCCCTTGGGTGAATTTCTGAACCGATGAGCCAGCAGTTCTCCAAGAAAAACGATTATAGCAAGTAACTGCCCGAGTAAACTGAGCACAATAAGTTGTCTTAGAAATTGAGTCTTTGTTTCTTTCTCCATCTGATTGGCAATAACAGTTTTGTCACTCTGGGAGCTTGTTTTCAAGTACTGTGATGTATACCACCGAAAAAGGAGACCCGTTTCGCGACATCTTTCAATAATGTCATTCATTTTTTTTCTGCCAGGTAAACCGGGACGGAACAAGAATACTTCAGGCAGAGAAACAAAAATTGGCTTCGCAATTTTCAATCTATGTTGACCACTCTTTTTACGATCATCATATTCAGTAACCTCTGCCCGATCTTGGAGCATTAAACAGCTAACATTGCCATACACCGCTGCCGTCTTTACACACCGCATATCTTTGAATATAAATCTTTTTTTCAAATTCAATTTAGCCTCAACTGCTCCTGCGTAAAACTCCTTAATGAAGAGTATCTCACTAACGATTATTGGCAAGCCCGCATCATCAATTTGTTCAAATGTTTTATACTGTTTCTCTACGAGAGGATCAATACCAAAATTTGTGAATGAAGCGTAAATATCATTAGAGTACATGAACCCCAGTATGAAGATGACGATGAATAGGATCCTTTCGTGACTTTTCGAAGGCTTACAAGGAATTCCAATGGAAAATATCAAGCTAAAAATTTTGAAGACTTCCCAAGTTTTTTCTTGAAAGTTTAGAACAATAGTTACGAACCAAATTACTATAATGACGGTAAATATGAAAATACCACTCGCAAAAGTGTTGCTCAGTAAGTTCACGTTGAACTCATACTCATTTGGCATAACCAGAACTAAGTTCTTCGTTACTATGTATGTCGATGCGGATAATTGAGGAGCCCCCCCTCCTGCAAGCAACGCAAAAGTAAAAATTTCTAGCTAGCTTAAATTATAATCCGTACCGCGAGCTGCGAATGAGAAATTGTTTTGAATCCCTACTCCTGTCGAAATAGTGAAATTCAAAGTTCGAGCCATGGCCTGAATCAAGTGAGGCTCTCGCTTCAAAATTTTTACCCTTATTTTATGTCCATGCATATTTTCTGCAAAATTGGGGAATAACTCCATGCCCGGTTGAAATTTCTCGTGATAGAATATTTTGGTGAAAAAATTAAACTGATGCATTATTATTTGGACTGAGCTGTCTTC